AATGTTCAACCGTGACTTCACTCGACTGGAAACTGTGTGAAAACAAAACCCAAATCAAAACTTCTTAGTGAAACTAGAAAACGCCTTCCTGGGATTAATAAAAGTATTTGATAAATTTATAATAAATTGATTTAGGATTTTTGATACAGCGAAATCGGGTACGATCCAGCTAAATGACTGGTATACTGGGCCTCAACCAATTGCGGTCAACAGCAACGAAGTAGGTTAGGACGCTGTAATAAAGAAGTCTCCCTTGGGTCAACTGCGAACCAACAACAAGGAAGAATCGATGAAGAACCGAAATCGAATATTCTTATTATTAGAAAATAGTGGCGTCTCAATACTTACAAGAAGTTTAAAAATCTGACCGCTAGGAATGTTAAAAATACACTAATACAGAACAACAAAAACGAATCTCACTAAACTTAGACACACTGGGAAAGTACAATCTGCCTCATTTTTCATCTTCAATTGTGAAGCCATAACCTGAACCTCTCTACGGAGCAAACAAAAACGGAACTCCTTAGTACTAGGAAATAATCAGCTACCAGATCCAATAAAATCGTATGATTTATGACCCTGATACAGACCTAAATGGCTGTTGGGTTGTTGTTGAACCAGGCCTCAATACAAGCTGTCTAATTAATTTTTCATCTTCAGATATCAATCCACAAAAAGTAACGAGTTATAAACAAAACACTAACCGGGACTGCCTAGTGCTATCAAACAGTATGGTTTAGGATGCTGAACCCAAGAAATCTATTGCTTGAGCTAATAGGGATCAACAGACACGATCCTTCTGACGCAGTAAAAAAGAAGAAGAATCAGTTTCATTTATATGTATAGCAAACTGCTTAGTGCAACTAAACGTTGCCTTCCTGGACCTAATAAAAGGTTATGATCGAGGGCTCTTTAAATAGATGGTATAGAACTTTAACCAACCCATTTAGGTAGTTCTAACCAGGGTGAAGTAACTTTGGTTGACAAATTCTGTGATTATTTATTCAGATGAGCAGTATAATTATAATGTCTTGATCTCGCTTTCCATCATTTCGCTTAATTGTGTAAGGCAGTCTGTGGTTTTCGCTAAACGGATCGCATCCGTGAACTGGCCAAATATTTCGTCGTGGCGGTCACAAATTTCAGTTCTCGCCGAGGACTTTCGGCGGTTCGTAATTTATAGGAAGTGGTTTTATCCCCCCACGTTGGGCGGTATCTGTAATTTTTGTCCAAGGGTGCGGATCGACACGTGTGTCCGGCGACAACGAAAGAAGAGTATTTATGCACAATTATCAGGAATAGGGCGTATTCGTGATGGTGGGGTTGTGCAATGGAAACTTGCCCTTGTTCAAAAGGTCGAGCAACCAATACCAAAAGCACAATCACGTCCAATGGCGAAATCTATTCTTCTTGAAGACTGCGGTCTCTTCATTGCCCAACGGACATCGCGGGATGCCTCCTTTCTAGCCTCACGCGACAAAGTCATGACAACCGAAGACCTTGTCCGATTTCGTTCGATGGGAACCCTTCGAACCCGTCTCTTTTGCAACGTAATTTTGTCTTCATTTCTTTATTTATTACCATGAACCCGATGAAAAATTTCTTCATTCCTTGATAATAGACGTTTCTTTTCTTTACTTTCGCTCGGAAAACTGTTTATATTGTATACATTTACATTCAGCAATAAATTTTTCTAATTTTCTTAGTTGTTGCTTTGCATTTAAAATTGTTATTTTATCGCGCATAAATAACTTGTGGGTATTGGGGAAAGTTAAGCAATTAATATTAGCAATTAAAAATAGACTACATCTTGCCAGTCAAGTTCGGCATAAAAAATTTCACTTTAGAACGCAAACATTTTAATTCCTCTCTGACTTTCTATTTTAATTTGTTTAAATTAAAACATATATTGAAATTTAATATTCCGAATTCCAGAAAAGAGATTTTATTTTTCTATAGGCATAAAGGCATAACTTAATAATATCGGCCATTAGGACTTGTGCTAGAAGCTTTCTATTACATTAGCTTAATTAAACTCAAAATATAATAGTGCTAAAGTTAAAAAAATCTCTATCATAATAACATTAATTATAAACATTGACCTTGCTTGTACCAATGAACTACAACCTGAAATCAACTTGATGATTAACACTGCTTGCTATTGCCAACCTTGGTCTATAACTATGATGATCAAAGGGTGCAAAGGCTTTTCCTTATATCGTCATCACCTGAATAAATGACAATGAAAATAGCATTTTTCGAAATCTCCCAACTATTGGCAATAAAGAATCTAAATTTATTATAACGATTTCTCAGCCAAGCGGGCACAAGTTTTTATTTTTCACATTAATTAAATTTTAAAAGTAATATGCAGTGAGAATAATAATTATAAATGTGTTAAAATTTATCATAATTTGATTGAATGTTAAGTAGAAAGTATTCAAAATGTCGAGTTTTTGTTGGTTTTCAGGTGGTTGGTCTGTGCGTTTTCCCACGTAAATATGCTCTTTGTGTATGCTTGTTAAATGAGTTAGAGTGAGAGGGTTGCTTGGGCATTGTCTTTGTTGTAATAAATCTTGGTTTATTCGACCTTTTTTGTTCCGTTTCTCTGTTCGTCGGTTTCGTTTTCTTTTGACGTTGTGTAATGTTTCGAACGAAGGTAATGTTCGTGAATAATTTGTGTTCGTGGGTTTTATGGTGCTGGCCTGCATTTCCTTGAGATTTCTGGTAAATCTATTTTCCGACCAATTTTCATACAAGAAAATAACAATTTGAATCTAGAAAGAACAGACACTAAAGTAAATGAACAGACCATCAGTCAGAATCAATGGACCGATGAAAATGACCCATGGGGCGTCGGTGGCCGCAACGGTTTAGGCGTTGACACGGCGCTCATCACTCTAAGGTAAAGGTCCCGGGTTCGAATCCAGCGACCCTGCATACAAATTCAGGTTCATATAACCTCGAAGTTGAAATACACTCGTTAAAAAAAAGACCCATCTGGCAGACAAAACCTGCGTGAATAAGTTCTTAGTTCAATGATCAAAAACGTAATTATCATTAGAACCAATGCGATGGACAAATGGTAGGGCAAACGCTCAGACCAACTATGAAGCCGAAGATCTTCGTAAAATTCAGTTTTAATAGTTTCCTTACTGAGAGTAAACCGTTAAAACCTATAAAACAGACATAAACGTGGGTAAATGAACAGACCAATCAAGAAGATGACGCTTCTGGCAGACAAAACCGAGAAGAGTAAATTTTTAATAATCAAAGAGGATCAGCAAGTAGCATTAGTTACACTGCGATGGACATATGCAAGGGTAAAAGCTCAGACCAACCATGAAGCCGAAGATCGTTGGAAAATTCAGTTCTAATAGTTTCCTAACTTTACATAACGGGTTAAGTAAATCGTTAAAACCTATAAAACAGAAATCAACGTGGGTAAATGAACAGACCAATCGAGAAGATGACGCTATTGGCAGACAAAATCGAGAAGTCAATTTTTAATGATCAAAGAGGATCAGTAAGTAACATCAGTTCCACTGCGATGGACTCATGCAAGGGTAAACGCTCAGGCCAACCAGTGGAGATATTATTATCCATTGTCATCAGACATGACGATATCTTCAGCGGTCGCTATTTACCTTTTTCAATATTAATGTCTTATTTGTTGATTCTAATGATGATCGTCACTGATTTTCGTGAAATGAGAAGCGTCATCTACGTTGGATGATCTGTTCGTTTATCCATCTATTCCATGGGGGGATGATGGTCAAATCAAAGAGAATGTGCGGACCAGGATGATGGAAGATGATTAAGCTTCAAGTCGTCAATTCGCAGACCACAAAACATTATATTTTATAAACTAAGCTTGTTATTTATATCGTTAGAGTTAATAATAAATTTCATGCAATATTTATACAATGTTGGTAAATTTTTACTTTTTTGTTACGCTCGCTTAGTTAAGTTGGCGTCTAGACCTAAGATCGTTAAAGCAATAAGTCCAATTTTGTCTCAATGAAACTTTACATAACGGGTTTTTAACGATCTTCCGTTGAGTGAAAGACTTTTGTGCCTACGCAAATCGGCCCGGGGAATTGACGGACAAAAGGCCAGCAAAAGAAACCTGGTAATGAAAATTGACTGTTCCGGTGGCAAAAGGGCCAAAGCAGCGTGACGAAAACTTGCGTAACCTACTTAAGCTCGCTATTAGGGAAGAGGAAGGAAGAAACAATCGAAAGGAAATTTTCGCACGATTCCCTTGCGCTTGTGATATCGCCACGTTTCTGGGCATCTTCCTGTTCTCAAATTTTCTACTATTAAGCAACAAAGGCTAAAAATTGTGTAATAATTTCCTCGAATTAAGTCTGCTTTCCCTATCATGTGAAATAATTAATTTTGAAAAATTTAACGATTTTCATAAAAATCTGGTGTTTTCCAACGTATAACGACGAATGATTTCCACTTCCTTCCTCAAGCGTTTAAAACTGATAAAGTTGATAATTTATTTATTAAAAGTAATTAGGAACTTGTCGCATTTACCTAAGTTGTTGACCTTAATTTTGTATTGTATATTTAAAAGTGTCACGCGATCCTTAAATCCACTCTACATCCTGTATCCTTAGAGGAGAATGAGATTAATACGATCTACCTTTGTTCTTGACACAAAGGATATTATTATCGACGAAGATGAAGGTCATCCCCTGAGATACTAAATTAGATACATTATGGCCCGTTAAAACCCAAATCATTTTGCCTTCATTTACGGTCTGCTTCCGTCAGAGCACGAAGGATTTAGGGAAAGCAGTACTTGTGAGATAGTAGAAGAAAGTCGAGAGTGACTTGATTTGGGCCCATTGATATAAAAATAGTTTCAGAGAAAACACTTTTAAATGCCTCAGATTAAACTCGGAGAAAGAGCACAATTACACACAGGAAATTTAATTTGTCGAAAATGTTCAAATATATCGAATTTATGTTCGTTTTTTGTATTTCAGATGCTGTCGAAGATGGAAGCAGAAAGGAAGCCGTCGTCGAAGAAGCCGATGATGGTAAATTTGTTAAAACTAGTAGTCAGTTCGAACAAAAATCAGGTCTGGTAAGAAAAGGGAAAGTACTCTATCTTTAAATTTAAATAGGAATTTGATGTATTTGATCACAACGATCCTTACTTGTTTTCATTAATACAAGCATAAACATTTGTCAATGGCCATGCGTGTTGTTTTTTCTGCCGTGATAGTGAAACGTTAGACAACCTTTCGTGCCAAATTACCGGTTTACGGTCTGAGCCGACGGAAATTAAAAGGTGTGAAAAGCCGAGAATAGGTCGTTTAATTCGATCAACTCGTGATTCAATGCTCCTTTTATAAAAAGGACAACAACAAGACGCTGTTGCACATAATTGGTTCACCGGGGTTGTTGACAGATGCATGAAAAATTGGGAATTACCATGGTGCAGAAGGTGTGAGCCGACCCAAATTAACACATAACACACATGCATCAAGTGTATTTTGTTGTTTTCTTCCTTTTCTTTTAAATTGGCTAATACTCGCCTGTAGAGTTGGTACAACAATCGAAAGGACCTCAATGTAACTCAACGTTGCTTTGAAAAATTAAGCTGTCGAGATACGTCCTTGGAAAGGAAGAAGGATCATAAATAGATATGATGATGTCAAATCAAATTGACTCTCTAGTACTCGTGTACTTAAAAAGACAAAATTCACATTCTATTCCCAGTAAACCTACGCTAAAAAAAAACCACCAAGGCTGGCAAACTTACTACTACTTACCGTTAGTCAATGAGTAATTGGAGATTCTGAGATACGGTCTGGTGTGACGTAGGTTTTAGAAAAACCTTGTCTTTATTGTGCCAACGTTTCGATCTTTATTGAGATCATCTTCAGGGCTCAAACTGTGGGCACTCTCAACACGACAGCCAAGAATGACACATCTACACGGAAAACAAACACCTAGAGCCTTCAGACCGCATCTCGCGATCTCCGAATAATCACTGCCACAACGTTACAGTTCTACAGTTTTAAAGAGAGCTAAACTCAGAGGAGTGATAGGACTATACGAGGAGGAAGAAACAGCCACCATTTCAAATTCGAATCCGAAGCAACCGCAACATAGGAGGTTCAAAGAAAACCCAGGGAATGGATTTGCACCGACGGCAGTAAATGACCTAGAACTTCTTAGGAGGAGAATCGAGTCGATTGCGCCGAACTAGGAAAGTACATAAGCCAGCAGCCTGCTTCCTAGTAGCCAGTATCATCATTATCATCACTCGTGTCAGATTGTGTGGGGTGTTAAAGCCCGTCAATCTCAATCTACTCGAAATGCGGAAGGTCATCATATCAACCTACGCCACGGTATCCGCTAAGAAAGAAGAAGCTTGCGAAATCTTTAGTTTTAAATCATTTTATTATGCCTTCGCAAGGCTATGAAGTGGTGACGTCTTTACTTTGATTATATTTATTGTTTAGGGAGTTTTTTCCTTTACAGGAGTTGCTTAGGTTATTATTGGTTTTATATTTTTCTCCCTCTCCGCCTCTCTCTCTCACTCTCACGATCGTAGTATGTATGTAAATATATTTTCTATCACTCTTTGTTTTTTTCAGGAGCTGCTGAAGAATCAAGTAATGAGGAATCAATATTCGACGTAAGTTTAACTTTTAAACTTCTCTTCTGATGATTATTAAACGCCAGCTTTGGCTTCTTCGGCCAACCTAGAAAGACAGGGGTTGAAATAATTATTTATTCACATTTCTTTTAATGAAGACAATAAAAATTAAGTTTGTTAATTGGAAACAAAAAGAAATTAAAGATTCAAGAAAAGAACGTGTTGACTTGAAGAAACTTTTAATCGCTTTTACTAATAAGGTTAACTTGATTTTCTACCTTTCTTGGCCAGCGAATCAGGAAAATTTCGATCGTGTAGAATAAAATATTTATAATAAATAAATTAGACAGGCAAAAGAACTAGCTCATAAAAAGCGAAGATAAGCGGACCTGGATGATAGATGAAATTGGGGAAAAAAATTTCTTCTGAATATTCCTAAAAGAAACATTCAATGCAAAAATTAGATTAGTATTTTTTTATAAATGTAAATTGTATAAATTTTATCTTTAAAAAATTAATTTTTTAAAGACAAAATTTATTTACGTTTGTATTCATGATGTTGAACACGTACTTTACTTTACTTACGAATATACATAGGATTTTTGTATGCCTGCAACAAATAAATTAGCATTTTGCTAAGAACGTGACACGTTGAGCTACAAAGTGTTAAAAATGATATAACAAGGAAGTAAACGCATTATGCGTTGTACGTTATCGCAGTTACGCGCTCAAGTGCATTCAGAGCATAACAGCGTTCATGTTCTTGCAGACGGAACTGATGAGCGGCGATGAGGCTGATGAGGACGATGACGGCGAAGAACAGGGCGACTCAAGCTCCGACGGTCAGCATCTCTTTCCTTCCTTCTCGTCCCTATTCTCAACACCCCTGGGCCATTCCAGGCCTACGAACGCATTTTATCAGGAACCTCTGAGATCCTTCCAGACGGACACATTCCATAGGTAAAGAACTAAAATATTTTTTACGGTACACTATGGTATAGTAGATGCCATATTAAATAACCGTTTTTCTTCATTTTGAAGTCTAATTTTAAAATAAGTCTTAGGTTATATTTTCGAATTATCCTGGGAACGTTTTGCCTATTAGTGTTTTTATGCGCGACCTTTCATTCTGAAAGTTTACCACTAAAACCTTTAAATGCAGAATCGTGTCCGTGATTTGAACAAAAGGCTAATTTAAAAATTATCAGATGGAAAGAACATAAAAGCTTATTTTAAAGGGCATCGCGTATAGTTCATCTCATGCAAACATTTTGGGTAAGTATTGTAGTATGCATTTAAACTTTCGTCTATTATTCTGAACTCTACTACTGATTATCCTAGAATATTTGCGTTTCTTTAGTAAGGTGAAGAATTCTTCTCAGGGGTATGGTATCAAGCATTTCATTTTTCAGGATTGGCTCTCTTAGGTACGATAGCCTTTTCATTGTTATTGCTTGGAATTTGCAGATCATGTGTTCTGTTGTCTCAGACTTCTCTAGATAGAGATGATATTGGTCATCACTTGGACCATGCCCAGTGCAATATACCCGTTTGGATTTTAAGCTTCTTTTTGTTGTGTAAGATCTCTCTTTTCTCATTGGGTTATTTTTTTCGAGTTATCTTTTGCTTACCTCCTGCCTGGTATTTGTTGTGTTCATTAGTAGCGCAAGAATCCAGTTCTTTTCTAAAAGTGGCTGTAATTTATTACACAAAAGGCATTTGGGTCCCGAGGCTCCCGTTTGTCTAGCATGTCTGTGCCGCTTTGCCTGAAACTCCCTCTTGGCTTGGGACCCTCCTTAGCATAGGCTATTTGTACATGCCAGTTTTTATGGGTATTTAAGCAGCTCCAGATTAATTTTCAGTTGATTTCGTAGGCTTGAAGAGCTTTTAGACCTGACTGGTAGTATTATAACAGTTGCGCCTTGAGATATTCGATATGTATTTACGCGCAATGTTTCTACGACTGGTAGTTGGACTTAAAAGATGATTTCGGTAGAGTCGAGGGCCATGTGGCGAACACGTTTATGGGCCTTTCCTCTCTCTTTCCATTTACCATCTTTAAGCTACCGTAATAGCGTGAAGAGCTCCTGTTTTTTCCATTGTGCTCTCGTTTCAATAATTATTTGGAATGGTTTTTGCAAAGTCTAATATTTTATGAGATACGTCAGAGTTAATTTTAACCATGTCAGTTAACTCTGTCGAAATTTTTGGAATGACCAGCTTGATTGATGTTTTCCTTTCAGAAAATTTGATTCTTTCTTTCTATTGACCGATGAATTCTTAGTTCCTCAATCCCTGCCGTATTTCTATTTTAAAAGGTGGGAGCTTGAGAATAAGTTGCAATTCTTTAGATTTTGTGTGGTATTTCCCTTAACTTTTTTGTTATTTTTTTGAACGTCACATTTAGCTTGCATACTCATAGACGACGACGGTCTGACGACAAAGTCATCTAAAGAGTTAGTTCTCTAATCCTACCACAAAATACTTGGCATGTCCATTGTGCCTTTGTGTAAAAAATGTGCTTCGGTCGAGAACTATTCCTAGGTGAATGGCTTTCTTTTGACTTTATTTATCTATTTCAATATAAAATTTAGCTTCTTCCACCTGGTGAATGGCACAATTGCTTTGGAGTGATTTATTTATACCAAACCTTTTTCGTGGTCTCCTTTGAATGTTATGCAATTAAATTAATATCTGGCTATATTAAAAAGAGCTTTTGAGAATGAGTTTTATTATTAATATAATTTATTATAGTGAAGGCAGAAAGTATTACTAATTCAAAAAATTATTTTTCAGTTATATTAAATTGAATTATGACTATAGCTCTTAAAGTTTATATATATAATTTAAAATTTTGATTTATGGACCTAATTAAACCAGACCTTCATTTATCAATCTAAAATTGATTTTACTGATACATTACTGGTTACATTTACTGATATCCTTAAAATCATGTTAATGAAGTATAATTTAAAACAAATAAGTTTTACGATCCTATGAAATACCATAATTCAAAAATTTGATTCGTGAACTTAACCTTAATTATTATTATATATTTAGCTACCATGGGACAATCATATTAACGCAATTTTAATCATTTTTAAATTAAATAAGTGCAGTTTTATGATGTCAAGAATTGCCATAATTCAAAAATTTGATTTACGGCCGTACATACTTATGGGTGTTTAAAATTAACAAATTGATTTGTTAGCCATATTAAATCTTGAATAATTTTATATTGGTTTGAAAACGAGGGGAAAATATAATTTACAGCCACAGTTACAGAATGTGTTTTTGTACAAATAAAAAAATAACAGATTTATATTTATTAAACATAATTTACAAATGTGTTTATGGTCCTAATTAAATCGATCTTGTTTAATTAAATTTTGAAAGTTCATAAGTGAATCTAACTTTCATAACAGAATCAAGTTCATGATTTAAATTAAAAAAGAAATATAATAAATTAATAACTATTAATTTATCGATATAATTTTACGCTTTTAATAGTACAGTTTATTTATCACTTTGTGGTTAGATTTTTTTTTATTATAAGCGTCCTAAATATATTTTTTGAATTAGTATTTCTATTTATTAGACACCTGAAGGGTTCAGAATTTATCAACGTATTTATGAACCTTATTAAATCAAACTCGCACCTTGGATTTGACTTTTTAGGTTCAACTGACTTTCCTAGTAGAATTAAGTTAATGATTTGAAAGGAAATTTGAAATATGATTTGTTTGAATGATGAAAATGATGATTTAAAATGAAATTATGAGTTTATTTAAAAATTATATAATTAGACAATTATTTTAAGCGTACAAAATGCAAGATTTTTTTTAAAATTTAATACGATGGATGATCAACGACGGATTTATTTTTGGACTTGACTAAATCGGCTCGACGACATCGACTCTAAGAACCCATGAAAGCAACATTCCGGTGTACCCGGAAGTTTTCAAGGTACGACCAGTATTCGAATTCGCGAAGTTCTCTTGTCAAAAATCAAATTTGCCCTTAGAATAATAATAATTTAAATTTTTTTAACATATTAGCCGAGGCTGTGAACGCACAGGCATAACACATTTTGAATAATAATTATCAGAAAGGGCGTGAAAAAATTTTCAAGCGTTTTTTTTGTTTTTTCCTATTAAATTTGAATTTAACCGTGAAATTTTAATATATAATTAAAATAAACACACGTTGAAGTTTTTTGTTTTCCCTTTTTGAATTAGAAAGTAGACAAAGTACATTAATCACGGCCAAGGGTAATTATGTGTTGTTTTAATTTTGGATATGTTTTAATACGTGAACTAAAAAAAAAATGAAGATAACATAAGATAAGAGAGAGAAATGCCGGCGAAATTACTTTTTTCTCCCTGGTTCTCACGATTATACGAAAAGTGTTCTTACCTCACGCGTCGTTAAGTATAAAAATGGTCATTATTCCGCGGTTTGTCGTGTTCTTACTTTTCCCTTTTTCCTGTAATACTACGTGCAGTAATGTTTATTTTTATCTGGCATTTTTCCTGTACTGGCGGATTTCAGTTTTCTGTGTCAAAATGTAGATGCATTCTTTTTCCAAAGAAATTTGGCCTTGTCGAACATATGCTAAACATTATATCATAGTGATCTACAGGATAGCACATTCAACAGGAAGGAAATGATAAATTCACATAACATAACAACAACTCTTAGGCATAATTTAGTTTATTACATAGTATATAAAGAAAACGAAGATTCATCAAAGACGCCATCATGTAAAAAATGCACCGACTCAAACCTTTCACGTCTTACGAATCTATTATAACTTATTATAAAAGCCATACACAAATCAACCACTGAAAAAGACATCTGATAGAACCAGCGAGACTTGACGGACCAAGATGGCGGTAAATGACCAAACCACAGACTCTTTTTTGCCGTGGCTCAGTTAGATAGTTTTGCTCCATGAAGATCTGCATATCTGAAAAACTTATTCAGGCCACCCAAATTAAGCTTGGTGGTAATTAAATCCCAAAATAAAAGGTTATTTATCACTCGATACGTGACTTTTATAGTCCTTATTTAGTAAAGCAATTTATGATTTTTTTAAAATTTGTTTTAATATTTTATTAAAATTGATTGAATTTTAAAATTAAATATTGAAATATATGAGTACTTAAGTACTTAATTTGACGACATACTTTGATAGAACATAATCATTTAACTATCGGTCACTACCTTGTTCTTCGTTCAGAATAAATTAACAGTTATATTACCTATTAACTTTCTACACTGCTTGTTCAACGATCAAATTACAATAATTGAAATTTATAAGGGAAGATTAAGAAATAATTTAATTTACTAATTTATACAATTATAATTGTAATTTATTAATAATTAATAACCAAATAAATTATATATTCCATGTAAAAAACTAAATAAGGCCACCTTAATATCAGTACTTAAATACTTGTAAATTCCTTTTTTTTATATTGTTATTTGTAACTTGAAAGATTATTACATCTTATTCTCTCTTATAACTGTTTTTATTATACCAGAGCGTTGACAGTGAATTGTGAACAATTCTAAATTAGTTTGGACACTGTGTATTAATATTATACAAAGAAATATTAAAAGATTCATTAATGATAAAATAAAATATAATATAAAATTTGCAAGGAACTTTGCTTCTACCGGTCTGTAAAAATATGACTGAAGATGGATACGGATGGGTATGGTAGGATACTGATGGAGTCGGCGATAAATGCTGGGACTGCGAATGCTGAGGATGGCGGATTCTCGTTTTCCTCACCATACCATGCGTATATCCACTTTTGTAGATAAAGGAGGGCCCACAGCCCACTCAATTCTTCCTTAGATGCGTGCCAGTGCGGTTAGGTGGGAAGGTGCGGTTCCTCGGCCTCATATTTGTCAGAAAGCGGAACTGTAATAGAAAGAATAAAGGTGGGGTGAGCTTGTCGATTCACTTTGTGTAAAGGATGGTTCTAACTCACGGGTTGCCTTGTGTTTTTGAGTAAGAACAATCCTTTACAAAAGTGAAATAATAGCTGAGATGGCAGACACGAAGCGACCTTGCCCACAGGAGTCATCCTCAAGTGGACATGGTTCTCAGATGCCCGTACAGAAGAATTACGGTAAGATTTCGCTCTCATACGCGATCCGCTAGGAGGAATCTCTCAGGCGGAATTACAGTGGATACTCGAACTGGGAAACAGTCAAATTCTCCCTGGGTCCTTCCAGGCGACCCTGGCCAGACCGACTACAATGTCATATCTCTGCTTCTAAGCTGGTAGGACTTAGGTGGAAGCATGTCGATTTTCACCTCGTCTTCACGAACGGCTATAAACCCTGCACCGTGTACAATGTAGGGGTTTTAACTTCATGGTGTATACTGCCAAGCTATTTGATCTGACACTTCCTCATTCTACCTCGTGTGCATCGACTCCCGTGCTCTTGTTGTAGAGATAGTCTGAACTGAAGTCTTCGCAAAAAGGTGGTTCTCGGTCCGAGGACCCATAATTCTAATTCTCTGACTCTAATAATGAAAAACTTAATAAAATGAAATAGCATCATCAGTGGGCAGGAGAAGGAGGCTAGACAAGCTCAACGCTTTTGACCCCTTTACACCCTTTTACAACAGGCAGTTATAATAATAAACATAGTTTTGTATGATGCTTATTAATTAATGGATCTTTACTTTGTCCAAACGTCAGGACGTTATTGACTCTTATAAAACCCATAATATCGCACCCATTCACCACTTTTAAAATGGTTTTATTATATTGAATAAATTGATTTATTATATTCTGATGTAATACAGCAATCTACGTATTTACTATTTCTTTTTTTTCTCTTTTTGTAGGTCTTTGTATGGCAATGACGATTCCGACAGGGTTTTGGGTTCTGGCAATTTCGGCGTAATCCGCGGCGGTACTTACTACAGTGGCGGTTCCAGCGACGAGCCCTTCACGAGGAACTCCCATTCCAGGCCGTACCGAAGGCCGAACCCTCTCCCGCAGTTCAAGCACGGAGGGGACTTCTTTTCGGGCTTCAGGGACTTCGCCGACATCACGACCCCTCCGAAACCGGCCTTCTCGGAGATCATAATCGTTTACGCCAACAAGAACCAAACGGCTTCAGCTGGCAACGAACAGCCTAAGAACATCCGGGACCTGATCGAAAGGGAGATGGCCAAGTCCAAGACAAAGAAGAAGCTGGCGCTTTACAAGGAAAAGACCCTGGCCAAAGAGTCGTCGAAGAAGTTCAGAACTAAAGAGCTCGAGCCTCTCCTCGCCCTTAGTTGAAATACATACACGATCTGAGGCTTTAGGATATTCAATTTGGTTTTTTATTGATAAACTTGAACTTTCAAAAAATTTTACACCCGTCTCTACCAAAAAATCGACAAAAAAGTTTTCATTTATTACATACATTTAAAGGGTTTACTGAAAAAAGTTTTTTAAATATCACTTCTTCGTCGGTCATATATTTATTCCCGGTTTGCTTAATGTCTATTCGATTTGATTTTTATTTTGCAAAAGCCTAATTTAGGCTTTAACAAGTTCATGTTTTATCAAGGAACAGCTCGAAGGAGGGTCAACGAAGTGTTATCGTACGCTACCACTTATGTTACCAACGCTATTCCCTCAAAAGGAAAAAAGATGTTACCTATTCACTTGATTTTACATAATCAAATTAAGCGTAGACTTCAGCAAAAGCCTCTGATACCTCTATTGTACAGTACCTGTTCCTTATTTGTATATAAACTTCCTTTTTTTATATTAATCTTATTTTTTGTTAAAAATTCATAAATCTAAAAAAAATATATATAAATATATACATAAGTATGATTATGTTTGTTTAACGCCAAAGAAACATTTTCTCGATGTGGAACATTTTGAAATTTATAAGTCTTTTGCAAACTAAAACATCTGTCTAAATGTGTATAAACGGTTATAAACATTACTGAAATATATTTTATTATTATTACCTATTATTTTTAGTGTTTTTATTTCTGTTCGAATTTTCACTTTATATATTGCAATATTTTGGCAAGTTTATATAGTAAAAAAGAAAAGTAGACTTGATTAATTTGACATTACATCTTTGCTCTGTTCAAATCAGATGTGTACATGAAATAAAAGGCTGAGGTCGATGGTTCTGCAATAGCAAGAATCCTATCACAGCTGGATGCCATTGAGTAGTATGGTGGTTGTCCAACCACGCTGGAGTGTCACAATATGCTTGCTTCATCTTTTTGTTCATCCAAATGGGTAACTTTATACTCACTAGTCGACATAGTGTTATTTACATAGCCGAGTAAGCGTACGACACAGAAAATAGAAATACAATTACTAAAATAACAAAAATCTTTGTTGTCTCTCCCATATAAAAAGGAGTGAGGACACACTGTTGAGGCAGGATGCCGGAAATTTTATCCAGGGAGTCGATCCAAGGCAGCATGTAGCAGATGTCTGTGAAAGCGGTGGCGAAGCCGAACTTCTGGCAATCTCTGAACATTTCAGCTTGTGTGAACATGCACTTTGTGTCGATGAGAGCGTGGCTGAGGCCGACGATCGCACCGTCGCAGACGAGAGCTGCTCCGGCATCACCTGGACAAAGGCCGCCGCCGTCTCTTTCCAGGCATATGGACCTAATGTTCCGCCCCCTTCAAAAGAAACAATCAGTTCAGCTTTTTTCAATTCATTCAGACTTAAGCTACGTCTTTCTAAGTACTCGTTAATACACGGGCATGAGTAATGACCGAATTTGGCGTAGGCGTAGAAATACTGGAGCCTGCGTTTGAAGTTTTTCGTCCCTATCTTCACGAGCCAACCGACGACGACGCACACCTTCAGTTCTTCGGGCGGCCAGAATTCAGGTTTTAGGCCCAAAGGTTTGACAGTTTTAGTCGTTTTGAATGACCTTGCAATCTAAAACAGATCTCAAATATTATATACATTTTTGTTTAACAATAAATATTTTTTTAATACTAGACTTAAAAGTTAGGTGATGGACCTCGTTTAAAAACATTGGTCTCCCTATCTGTTTGGGTATGACGGCTTTTATGTTGAAATGTTCTGCTTAAAACTTACAAGCAAAATCTTAATACTGAAATTAGTAGTATGATTTCTTTGCATATTACATGTACAATGATGATTTACACTGCATATTTTACGTAACGTTGAAATGAAAAGTGCCACGAGCGGGATTCGAAACCCACGATCTTCGGCTCAATACGCGCTGCTCTAACCACTTGAGCCATCGTGACTTCGATCAACTCGGACACCAACTCCCCATCTCATCCTACAACCTTTCGAATTTTCCCTCCTTTTTGCCAAATTTGCCCCCATAAATTGTGGGATTTCTTTACTGTCTGCAGGGTGTAGAACTTGAAATTTACTACTTACTTTACATTTACATTTACCTACCCTTCCTAAAATATTATGTGAGTTATTATATGAGTATTTTGATCTTTTCTAACAGTTCATTGGCATAATTTCTCACCCTGTCTCACAATTTTAAGGCATCAGCTTCGATAACCATTAATCCTTTTAATTGATTCTCTAATAAAAATGACTTCCTCGGTTTACAAGGGAATAAAGACGAGAGGCGCACCAGGATGATAGGGAAATGTCATAAATTGAAAAACGAAAAATTTCTCATATACTTTTCAAATATAGTCGCATTATCTACCTAGATAGATCTAGATTTATGGCTCTATCTAGACTAGACTTTTATTATCCTCCTTGATAGCGACACAGTTTTATTCTCTCAATTTAAATATTCTATGTTGTTAAGTTGAAAACTTTTCGTTGTTATAAGAGACCTAAAGACAGACGGTATTGAAACAAAAAAAAAATCATTCGTCAGGATTGCCACTTCTTCCGAATCCGTTATTGGGGTGATAAGAAAGTACTCCAGGTCTTCAAACTTCAAAACAATATGCATTAACTACTTAAAATCCACAAAGGATATCTAAGCCAAAGCCAGATACTCCTCTCCCAAAGCTGACTTTATAAAAATCTAACCAGGGACCCACTAGTTTCCATTTTTGCCATCAATAACTATAGTATTCAAGATCTTGTAAGCTAATCACTGGGCACTGACCAATGATTGACTCTAAACTTTAAACTATAACTGACCCATGACTCAACTCCACCTAACTATCCACCGTACACGTGTCAACCACTGACTGGCCAGTCAGTACCCTTTTCCTTTTTGGTAGTTCACTGGTACCCATCTTTTACAAATCTGTCCAGAGGGGTCAACGTGGGCTTTCTTCCCTGTGACAGCTGCTTCCCTCTGACTTCTTTATTTCCCTGTTCTTGAACTTTCCTTTAGAGGAGATTCTAGAGCGTCCAAGGAAGATACGAAATATGTCTCTTCGATGTTTACATATCCTCATTCAGTGTTCGACACAGTTTTGCAATAATCTTTACACAATTATTGCTATACAAAAAGTAGTATTCTAAAACCTTTTTTAAATAACTAAACAATTATTGAACACCGTAAGCATTGGCCAAAAGTTCTGAATATAAAACTAAGTTACGATTACAATTAAAATGAAAGCAATCAAATCTTATTTCAAGTTATTCTTCCAGAAAAGTTTTCTTCTTAAAAACTTTACCTTCTCACGACAATATAGTACTGTGGTTTCCTTTTTTTTTAGCAGAACCTACTCTTCTGCCACTCCGAATTTTCCCTCCTTTTTGCCATTTTTCAAAAGTCGTTTAATCAACAGTCGACATATCAAATGGCCAAAAGAAGGAAAACATGAAAGGTTATAGGTTGAGATGGGGGATTTGGTGTCCGAGTGGATCGAAATCACAATAGCTCAATTGGTTAGAACAGCGGCGTATTTAGCCGAAGGTCGTGGGTTCGAATCCCGCTCCTGACACTAAATTTTTCATATCAACCAAAACCATACATAAAAATGATAAGTAATTGAAATAAATAAATAAGATTGAATAAGAATTTATTGATAATATAAAATAAATTTATTTTCTATCTCTCGAAGCTGACTTTTTTACTCGCCTAATTTAAATTTAATTTAATGTCTTCTAAGAAACATAAACTACATTTTCATTCTATAGTTTTGCCCTATAGATAGGATTTGGTGAAAAATCCTTTGTAAATCCCGCATATGTTATATGTGTAGAAAGTGTTGTTAAATAGATGAAACACGAGAAAATTGGCCTCGTTTGACCAACGTGAACAACGAATGCAAGGCAACTCTGCGTGTCAGGAATGACTATTGACTGCTTATATCTGTTGAATACAAAAAACTCCACTTCATCTTCCCTATTCTCCAGATCGCACTGAAGGATTTTCACTTTTGCGAAATTTCCTGTTCAGAAACATTTGAATAATTAGAAGGTGGGAAAGGTGCCAGAGAATACTTGGTTCCAATGAAATTTTTTTAAATTGCCAAAATGAATGAATTTGTATATCGGTCGTTTCCGATCATTTTTGGTCTAACCTCGCGGTTTTGTTTGTTAGATAATCTGATTACGTCTACAGAACTAATCACCTCTTGCAAAATTTTGGCTGTATAAAATTCGACCAAGGTTCTAAAACACTTAAAACACAATTAATAAAAATTCTCTCATAATACTCTCTAAAGAAACATGCAAATACATAAACCAAAAATCATGCTTTCCAAAAAATAAACAAGCTTCAAGAAATGGGCCAGTCATACTGATCCCGGCACAACCTTACCGACAAAAACAAACCATTAGAAACCATACTTCCAACAGGACGTAAAAAAAGAAAAAAGAACGATGGGCATATTCCGAAACACACTACACAATAACTGAAATCACGACAACACGTAACAACACAACAAAATTACATTGACTTTAATGAACACACCAAAAGATAGACTGGAAATTGAACTCTTCATCAGACATGATCGCAGAAGTAATCTTATCAAACTTTGTAGAGAAATATTTTCCTTCAACTACGGTAAAACACAACATTAAGTTAGTGATATGCTCGACATAGTAGACACATCAACAACGTATAAACAGACAATAAAAAAACATATTCACTGCAAAATTCGAGCACTCAAATATACATGAACATAATAAGTTAACGACAATATAAAAATCCTCGGCTTAACTATTACAAAATTTGATTCCGATTCAACATATAAATAAAACCAAAGGTAACAGATATCATAAAAGCTGACACAAACCAACCATATAACCAAAATTATAGCACTCAAAATATATGAAGAATAGACTAGCAGAACAGTTAACAAATGAGAAGGACATACGTGGAAAATAAACAAATAAAAGCATAACCATAAAACAACGCCTACAACATAGGCACTATCAACAACCCAATTAAAAAAATGCATCAAAACCTCAAAAATAAGCACTAAATGGAATACCTTCCCTACCTTCACTTGTATAAGGTCCAAGGAGAAGTACAAACTAACTATTCTATTAAACAAATATGGCATAAAAACCTTTCTAAAGTCTATACTATGTGATGATTCCCTGTGTAAAGGTTAAAACAGAAAACCAACTACAACATACATGAAAAGGGATGAATCAAAACACGTACATATTCCAAAAATAGCCACACTTAAAATGGATGGACTAACAGAAAAGCAAACAAATAAGACGAACATACATGGACATCAAACAATCATAATCATGGCATGCGATAACACCTACAACAGAAAAACTATCAATAATCCAGGGAAAAAAGACATGCACCAAAACATGATGGCACTTCAAAAATAAACACTAAATACTTCAATACCTTCACTTTGATAGAATCCAAAGAGACAACTAATATGGCAAAAAAAACTTTACTGACTGTTTGTTATGTGATGATTGCCTGTGGAAACGTTAATATAGAAAACCAACTACAATATACATCAAAAGATGGATGAACTAATAGAAAAGCAAATAAATAACACATTGATGTCATACATGGGCATCAAACAATTAAAATCGTGGCATCCAACCTACAACCTTAACCTACAACAGAGAAACTATCAATAATCCAGTGAAAAAATACATGAACCAATTCATGATTACACCTCAAAAACGGGTACTAAATGGAATACTTTCACTTAGATAGGGTCCACGGAGAAGTGCAAACTAACCAACTAACCAATATATTTAACAAATATGGTAGAAAACTTTAACAAAAATTGTGTTATGTGATGTAAACCGAATTTTCTATTTAAACGGGGGCTAGCTTAAACCAGATACTTCGACGTGATCTCCCGATCTCTAATGAGCAAGCCACTCTCTCTGTATCAAAATAAGTACACAAGCAATAGTGTCATCTCAATAGCTCGTACTCATTGCTACACTCCGTTCTGACACCAACTCTGGCTTCTCCCATCATCTAGCTCACGACACTGCCATAATCTACCAACGCGATGTAAGCCGGCCCCCGTCTTAGCAATAAGTTAAGTTGTAAAATAAAAACAGAATAGGTAAACGAGGAAAGGGGACAACGGTTGTCCTTTGAAGGGGGACCGCCCAGATGGGAACGACGTGACACATCTGGCAAATATAGCTTAGAAATGGTTACCCAGGTAGACAGCTAGGTAAGAACGTCGAAATGTGAAGCAGACCCAGATGGGACCGACGTGACACATCTGGCAAATATATCTTAGAAATGGTTACCCAGGTAGACAGCTAGGTAAGAAAGGGGGACATCGTAAATTGGGAATACGTCAACGCTGTGCTAGACCGCCGTCTTTGTCGGCCCCGCCGCGGCGTGAGATCTCCCCCCGACTTTTGAGTTTCCTTTCCATCCCTACTACGGGAGAGACCCGGTATAAAAGGGATGACTGGAAAATCAGACAGTCTACAGTCAAGATACGAGACTCATCCCAGGCAGTCAAGACCGAGGACCGGGAGAGAAGCAGCCATACTCCGTCTGGGATTCAACAAGAGGACTCAGCCAGCCAGAGCCAGCGAGGACCAGCCGTTGCGACCATCGCGCCAAGTCAGAGGTCGAGAGAAGAGATGCTGTGGACACTGATCGTGGCGAGCATCGTTTGGGGTAAGTCCCTTTGTTGATAGACTGGGATTTAGACCTTTTCCTCGTTGTCCCTGGATCTCCAGATTTAGAGTTGTGGCTGATTTATAGATTAAGTAAGATTCTGAGGTTTTTTATATTAAGAGAAAGACTTGTGTACAATAAATTTTACTGAATACTGTCTCTGGTTTATTGAATTCTGGAACCTTACCTTCCCCTACACAAGAATAAGTAGCGACGCGCTTACGCCGACTAATCTCTTGTCGCTTAGAGAAAAACAAGCGAAGATCAAGAGATAATTCTGCCGCCGCGCCGTCGTCCGCTTACAGCGACAAAGAAAACTAAATTGAAGGAACTTATTGTCCTTACCAATTAGTAATATGCAAATATAAGATCTGAGGCAATTCACCCACATAGACACAACATGGATGGACGTTGGATGTTTCACACAGAGCATATAAAAGGACTCGACTAACTAAATGCACACATCCATCGTCTGATGGACCAAAAATGAAAGGATCGACAGAGCAAAAACGATTGAAAACGATCATCCTTCAACAGACATCAAGAAGAAATAATCTCACAATAATTAATTAAATCGAATTTATTTTGTAGCTATATTTACGTCAGGTTACAGACACCCCCACATTAAAAAGGAAACTATTGTACAAATGACTAATTGATTTTTTTTTTTCATTCTAGAGTGAATTATTTTAAGACTTAAACTCACTCGTATAAGACTGATATCGTGCTGCATCAGTTTTCCATCCTTGTAGTGTGGGTGATTGAAAGCTTTCATACCTTTCCTCGCCTGTATGACGTTCCTGTGCAAACTGTCGTTTATCATCGCCGGAGATGAATCCAGGTTGTCTACCCCGGCGATGATCCGTATCCTTTTCGCGTATTTGACGCTACCGATACAGCTAGCTGACGATATCAGCCAAAACCGTGTGATAATCACCGCCGTGCAGCCCAGACCTTTGGCCGTGATGACCAACGCGACGAAAGGATAATCGTAAACCGAGGCGTCGTACGTTTCATAATAGGCGGACAGATTGTATGAGTAAATTAATCCACTATTCAGCCCAACGATAAAAATAAACAATAAGAAAACCATTTGAACGTATTTTTATCATCTGTGAACCGGGAATACAATAAAACTGTCTGTGGAAAATCTTCAACTAATCGTGTGATCATTGTTGCTCTAGCGGTTACTGAAAAGTAAAATAATGGGAGTATATTGCTCAAAGGGAAGGTCGACAGAATGACCATCTCACGATGATGTTAGGAATGAATTTACTTAGGTTGTTTTGAAAATGTTTGCTGGCTTGAAGTCTTTACGAATAAGTTTCTTTTTATCGACGAATTAACAAAGAAAATAATTTGTTAAAATGTCCGTTCAATGAAGGATTGCCGACACGAACTGAGTGCTTACAATGTTTTTCGTTGACTACCTCAAAAAGAAAATATCCAGAATGAATGATTTTCAGAGATGTTTAAAGAATCTATCATGAGCAGATTAGTGTGTCGTCTATAATGCGTGTCGCAATAATGGACACAACTGGTTAATGAAATCATGGTTGGTCATCATAAACTCTTTGATGAGTTTATGAGTTCCCGATTGTTCAGGAAGGGACATATGAGGTTTTTTATGCAAAGGGAAAATAAGAAGAACGTAGAACTCACGGGGTCTGACCAGACCGGACTTGTAAGAACTACAGGGTAAACAGATGGTAGATCCGTTTTACAGAAGTTGGTTTAGTTTTCACAGTCTGGTAATGAAAGTGTTATTGCATATTAATTTCCTCATTTCTTCTGTTTCATTGCAGAATCTACATATCTTGTGTTCTACAAAGCTAATATTTTACACCGGTTGTTTATTTAATACGAAATTCGTCGCAAACCGGCGGCACAAAGAGGGGCAACAAAGATGCTGAAAAATTGGCCAAGGAATGTTCGATGGGAACACCTATTGGCCCTGGACCCTTTTGTGGCATATCAAACTGTCAAAAACGTAGATCCATCAAACAATGAACTAAGTCGTCCGTACAATGAAAATGTAGCCCAGGACAAAGGCATGCGCACAAGTTATCAAAAGCAAATGCAGAACTATTAATTCTTGGGCGAGTTAGGTCTAAACTAACAGTAAACTGGGCACTGCAGACCCCGGAGGCATATGTATAAAGTCGAAGGAGTAGAAACAAGCTTGTGCAGATATTCCGAGGAAGACGAGACAGTGGAACATGTTCTCTCTTGGTGCGAAGGCTTATTAGGTACTTATTCCTGGTAGAGGAAAAAAGTCCGGGCCTAAAAAATACACTCTGCATCAAGGTATGGTCTTGACGATGAAAGAAAATTCAGTTGTTATGGCCAAGCTTTCGAGCAGCATCATTAAAGCAGAATAACCTTAAATACGTTCTCTAGACATATTTAAAGTTGTTTGGCTCTGATGATGACCTTAAAATTGGTCGAACGCTTGGCAGTAGCAAGTGAATTTTCTTTCATCGTCAAGACCATACCTTGATCCACAGTGTGCGTAAGTGAAAATGTGCTCATACTTCTAATACTGAAAACTAAAAATAAACACGAGAGTCTTTGAAAAAGCTTTGGAATCTAACCTATCTACTCTTCTTAAGATTAAAGAAACCAGTTGAAGGTCTCATATAGGTTTCTGTTATCTCTTGCTTCTCAAACCTGGTAGACTAGTATTCAGTCAAAGGTCTTGTCAACCTTATCCTCTGTCCTAAAAAGAATATCCTATATGGAACGAGTTTGATGAGTTTCAAGACATCATGCACACCTAAGTATTGTATAAAACCAGTTTCACGTTATTGTCGGTCGAAGAGGCTGTTATCCTTTGATAGTGGTTGAAAAATAAAAGTAGGAAGAGTACTGCGCTCATCCCTTAATACAAAATCGGGAGCACAGTTGCTGTTTAGTGGTTGGTTTCCCCAAAGTTTTGATAGAACGTCAAAACCCATTTTTTAATAATTGCTGCTATTGGTTGGCCCAAACTAACACTAAACCCAAATCAAACACTGATAACGGTGTTATCAGAAGAGAACCAACAGCAAAATGGCATGGGCAGAAATTTCAAGAAACCAGTTTCATTGAAACTTCGGGTTATCCCTGCTTTATGACGTGCACGTAGTGATTTATGCAGACAGAATTGACATGGTCGTCTCAGATCATCCTGTTCATTCGCTTTTACATCGGTGGTTTTGCCTTTCGTCAGGCGCGTTTCGAAATTGTCATTAGTTGGTTTGTAACCCTTTTTTACTGATGTACAAAACCAAATGGGTTCATAGTACTTATTCTGTCTAGTTTTTCGGTTAGTAAGTTTGTCTGTTTCGTGTATTCTGATGTGCAACGTTAATGAAGATAAAAGTGAATTATTCTGTTAATAACAATAGTTTTCTCGTTCTGTACCATTATATCTTTTTACTTTTTATATATCTTTTTATATATCTTTTATATTATATATATATTAAATAATATTATATATTATCTTTTTATATATCTTTTTATTATATCTTTTTTAAGTTTACGAGTATGTATTATTTGTCATATCATACATGGTAGACTAGTATTCAGTCAAAGGATAGACTAGATGTGTAGACTTCTTAAGGAGACGGCCCTGATATGCCTTTTTAACCTTATGTCATTTTGGATTGTCACTTTTGGAAATAAAACCTGTCAAAAGGACATACAGGTGGGAAAACGCACAGACCTACCACTCTACAACTATCGACACGTCTTAAAGGCAGAACCGCCCACCTCCTCTCTGCCTTCTAAATATCAGGATTTCATTTAAAATTCTATGTTAAGCCTACTGAAAAAGACAAGTGATAAATCATCTACTGTTGATATGCAAAATTGTCGGTGTACATAGAGACCATCCTGCTACAGCCAGAAAACGAAAAACTCAAACAAAAAGTAGACCAAAAGAAGTATGTTATAAAGAACACTACCATTTTGTATGTAAGGAAAATAATGTGATAAAACAAAGATGAGAAAGCAGAATAGTGTTTAATCATTAAATTTTTAAAAACACAAAATAATTTAATAAATAATACTGGTAATAGATAATAAAAAATTCCAATTTTTGGGGGGTGGGGTGGTGCTTAAACATCTCCATGTATTAATTTTTAAGGAATGACAAAATATTATTCAAAACGAAAGATCTATAATAGGAAAACAACGTCATGTTACAAAATACTAATCTATCGATAGTTTTATCTTCATTTTTTTGCGTGCGTGTTTGTGAGATGACCTTTTTTTTATCATCTCGCGGTCTCGGCAAAACAGAAAGCGATGCATCTCTTGCGGATCGGGTTCGTTTTTATTCTCCTCTTTTCTTTCGGGATCGTGACTGGGTCCGACGTCAAAAATCCAGCCGGACAAATCACCAACTTGTACTTCATCAAGGCGCCTCGGCGATCATGCAAAGACGGACAAGTTTGGACGGCGGGAAAGTGCCGACACAGCATCAACCACCGGAAACACATAACGTTACAATATAAAAAACATAGTGTGGTATAGTTTTATGATTTTTGTAACGTACATTAAATAAATTGATAGCTAATTTTTTTTAAATATTTTTTCCCTTTTTGCATGAATCCAACGATTATGTAATACCATATAATATTTACAAAATTACAAAGAAAAAGGGCATTAAACGTAAGTAATTTACTTGTTTTCAACGCTACTTTTTGTAACGTAAGTAATTTACTTGTACATACAACTGCTAGAATAATAACAATTGAACAGCTTTAATTTTTAAATATTCTACTGCAAAATTGCCCTTATTCCAGGGTAATAAGATGCTGTTAAACATCTTTAACTGTAATATAATAATAGGATATTTAGGTACTTGTTAATTGAAATAAAACTGAAATGATGCAATCAAATGAAAGTTATGCCAAGATCTGATAGAGATTATAACTTCTGAAAATGATAAATTTACAAGAAACTTAATTATATATGTAAACATTGTATTTTGTAGGATCGAGGATGTGGTCCAAGGAATGTTCGGATGTTGAAAATAAGCCAAGCTTTCGGTGTTTTATTTCACCTTCCTCAGGGCAAGTTTCTCTGAATTTAAAATTGTTTTTCTTTTCAACATGTATAAATATTTTTTTACTCTTTTTGACATTTCGTACACTGAGTCCAATGTTTTCAATAAATAAATAAATGGCACTTATTACAAACTATTATCACAGACAAATTCAACGTAAACCTTTTTCAAATCCATTATTTTTAGTGGTCTATTGACCAAATTACTTCTTTCAATTAATTAATCTTCTTATGTAAGGTTTGCAGAAGGTCGTGGGTTCGAATCCCGCTCGTGACTTCTAAATAGTTTTAGACATTACAAAATGCACAAAAACCAGATTTATACGCATTAGAGGTAGTAGCATACATTCAATTTATTTCACTATTTTTTAATGTAATTTTCGAAATAATTATTTTATTAGTATATTAGTATATTACTTTTAAAAATTTCTCTTCCATAATTATTTATGTTTAAAAAAAAATTAAATCGATCATAAGAGGGAAAGGAATTTGTATCAGTTTTGATTTGATATATCAATCTTAATCCAGCATTACTTTAGGAACAATAAATTTTATTATTGAAGTCCGTAATGGGTAAATGTTTATGCTTATAAATATGAAAGCATAAATACATAAAAAATTGATTTTTGATACTTTAAAATCAATGGAATTGTTTTGTATTGTACCTTTTATGTTTATTTAGCAATATTTTTAATAAAGTGTGTAGTGTTTAGTGACCGTCACTTAACGATTATTTGGAGGTCGTGAGATGCGGCTGGTACGACGTAGGTTTTAGAAAAACATTTTCTTTATCATGCCAACGTTTCGATCTTTATTGAGATCATCTTCAGGGCTCAAAGTGTTCGTTTTCCGTGTAGGTGTGTCATTCTTGTCTGTCGTGTTGAGAGTGCCAGTTTTTTGGGCCCTGAAAAAATAAACACTTTGAGCCCTGAAGATAATCTCAATATAGATCGAAACGTTGACATGATAAAAAAAATGTTTAATCCTTTTTTTTTTAAGATAGTTCCTACTCACAGTAAGTTGTTTTCCAACCATCCGGATTTCGAGCCCTTAGCTCATCATCAGATTGAAGGATTTCTACAACCACGTCGTTTCTAAGAAAATGTTTTTATAAAACCTACGTCACACCAGACCGCATTTTACGACCTCCAAATAATCATTTTTAATAAAGATTTTTGAGCAATAATTATTGGAGATATTGTAGATTTTATGGTCCTACCCCAAACTAAGAGCCTATATGATATCAACGATTGTGCTAATGCATAATAAACAAACCTCGTTAAATCTGGCAGAAGAATATTTCTTAAAATTTTCAATTTATAAAATAATTTTCTAAACTTTTTTTATCAAGGTATCAACTTAAAGATTAATTTACTATCCAAAATTATTCCCAAACATTTAACTTGTTTAGAAAAGGGTATAATCAATTACAGAGCAAACAACGTTAAATGAATGTAATACTATGTTTTCATTAAAGTTATTTTGATTTGAGAGGCTAAATTTAACTATTTTAGTTTTAAGCATATTTAAAAGTAAGAAATTACTATCTAACCATTTTTTAATTATAATTAATTATAAATATATCATCATAATTCTTGCCAGAAAAAAGTATAGCTGTACCATCAGAGATATTCCTCTTCTGATTGGCAAAGCCATCGAGAATTGAAGGACCAATATGACCTCACTTCGCAGATACCACAGGATCCATTAAACTATTTAAAACTATAGTACCACAATTTAGGATTAATTAATTCTTCAGGTTCCCTACTTTAAAAGATGAAAGGTATCAAACAATCAGCTACCGATGAGATATGATGAAAAATGAAACATTAAAGAATCCAGGTTCATCATTTCTCAAGCCCTAAAATAATAAGGGTAAAACAGTCTAACTTGAACATGTAGTTTTATATCAATCAATTGAGATAAATAATGTGATAATATAATAATAACAGCCTAGATTACCCTCGTTATAAATTCAGATTGGAATTGTCAACAAAACTGGTTGGAATTGAAAATATTTTACGTCGCAATTAAAGGAGATTTATGACGTAGATAATATGATGACGTTTGAATAGCCCGTTATTTACGATGTGCATCTGGTCACCAGATGATAAACGTCTGGACCCGTTCTGACAGTGGAACTCTTAAGTACCGTAACCATTTGGCAAAACCTGAAGGGGGTCAGGAAAACTCGTTTGTTTGGAATATTTTTTTCCGTTTACCTTTTCTGTTATTAAAAGATAACTGTTCTTGTGTATATTTACGGAAGTGTATACACTGTAGAAAAGCCTTATTAATTTGTACAATACGAAGCTAAAATCTTGTTTTAGTTTTGTCAGATGTCATTTTTTTTCTTTTGTTCAATCGCTTGGAAGGCAGGCAGATTGTGTTAAACTAATAAATCTACACGATTATAGAATATATTCTAGATATACTATAATATAAGAAAAAGAACTAAAAACTCAGAGAGCAGGCGATGACCTCAGATGTGTCTCGACCTCTAAACCTCCCACGTTATTATTATTATAGAATACATTACCATTTCTTGATGAATTTTAAACAAGAACGACTTTCGGTCGTAGGCCTGATCAGCTCGGTTTGGAGCTTTTTAGCCGGTTTCTTCTCTCGGCAATCAGGCACAAATTCATCCCCCCTCGATGCCGGCCGTCCCATCAAACGGCCCCGTGCCCAGTTCAGTACCTCCTTCTAAGAAGGAAACATGCACCTCGTCCAATACGCTATTGGGCATAAACAAACGTGAAAAGAACATGGAGTTCTTGGCCGGAGTTTTCGTTTTGGTCGGTTTTTCAACATTGGTCGACGCACAGATACAAAAACCAAATATCGTTGTCATTGTTGCCGACGATCTGGTATGCATGAAAATAATATATTTTTTATTTTCTCCTCATTTTTTATATGTACCATTTAGTCCGGTCCTTTTTGTATTTTCGTTATGTATGAAAGCGGTGTGTCAGTGTTTTATCTTTGTTTATGTTTGATAATGTTTTCTTGATGAGAACCAAAAACATTCAAACCAGGTGAAGTTTACACAAATATAAAAAGTATAGATTTAAGTTTAACTTGTAGCTACTAAGCAACAATTTTTATTAAATCTAGACAATTTTCATCATCAACATCATTAAGTAACTCTATTTTCAACATATAAGTTTGCTCAAGTTTTTGCAGTTTCAATTAATTATTCTTTTTATATAAGGAGTTGGGTGAGATGAAAAAGCTTGTGTCACGAGCGGGATTCGAACCCACGACGTTCGGCTCCATACGCCGCTGCTCTAACCACAAGAGCTATCGTGAGTCGGTTCTTCGGTCTTGGTGTCCGAGTAGATCAAAGTCCCGATAACTCAAATGGTAGAACAGCGGCGTATTGAGCCGAAGGTCGTGGGTTCGAATCCGCTCGTGACTCTAGCTTTTTCATCTCACCCAACTCCTTATATAAAAAAAATAATTATTTGAAATAAGTCATTTTGCCAGTTAGACCACTAAACATAAATGGATTAATATTTTTGCAGTTTGGTGAATTTGAACAGTTGTTACTGCTACACGAGGCTATCATGTTTTGAAAATTTTGGTCATTTTTATAGGTCATTTACTGGTAATGTTACACGATTTTCCAGATTCTTTTTTTCTTATTAGTTACTACTTAATTATTATTATAACCCTTTCTGTTCGTTTACGTTCATTTTATTTGGTAGTTTTGACCTATAAAAAATTATTTTTGAAAATGACAGGGATGGAATGATGTTGGATACCATGGTTCTAACCAAATCCCAACACCCAATATCGACGCATTGGCATTTTCCGGCGTAATCCTCAACAATTATTACGTTGCGCCAATATGTACTCCGTCTCGGAGTGCACTGATGACGGGAAAATACCCAATTCATACAGGTATTCTAAATTCTTCGATAGTCACCGGAACGTGAATAATGGTCGTCTTCGAATTAAAGGTATGCAGCACTCCGTGTTGATGGGAGCTGAAGACAGAGGACTTCCGCTAAGCGAGAAACTCCTTCCGGAATATCTCAAAGAAGCAGGATACGCGACAAGAGCCGTGGGAAAGTGGCATCTGGGCTCCTGGAAGTCTGAATACTTGCCGACAAGCAGAGGTTTCGATTCGCATCTTGGATTTTGGACGGGACATCATGATTACAATGACCACACAGCAATGGAAACTGTAATTTGCCTCAAAATATGAATATGAGGAAATCATCTCCATTCCAACCTGTTGCAATGCAATCCTTAAAATAATGGACACTCCAATCCTTTAGAATACTCTATCATCCATACTTTCTACCACCCTGTCATCCTTAGAAAAGTCCTCGTGAAGCTTCAACTTATACAACAGCGACTATACTAACAGCTTTAAACCTCATTTCAGACAACCAAGTTCTGTCACTATCATCCTACTGAATGAAGCAGTGCTGTCCGAGTTGCTTCCTGAAAATCTCCCAATTATTTGACCAAGTACGGCTCCGGGTACATTCGCGATCGAGCCACGGTGTTCGTCAAGGAAGTATCCTCGAAACACCAATAAACCATACCCTATACAAGAATTTTTCTTTCACCAAAACTTTTATTTCAGCCGAAGGCATGACTATCTTATCCCCCTACTCGGTCAATCCACCCGTATAGTCTTCACCTAAGTAGAAAAGCCCTTTTTGAGGTGTAGTTAGCAGACGATTAAATCCAAAGTTACTTCACTCAGCCGACAAAAACGCCCAGACTGTATTCAGAGACTCAACCTGACCAAAAGTCAGCTAGAAAGCCATTCTAAACTAACGTTACAACTAGAACGTTACAGTACAAAAGAATTTGAACTTCTAACATATCCAATCCTTTCAATTCGATGTGTTCCGTGCAGAAGTAAACGATTCCTTCTAAGACATCTCACCACCTCAACTACCAAGCATCCCCTATGTCTAAGCCTTGCCAAATTGTCTCCTAATGTAGAATCTATCCCGTCCTAAGAACGACCGAAGCGGCGCGGCGGTGGCTCTGTGGCTGTCCGATACAGTCTCTGTCTAGCTATGACACCACTGGGCGACCGTCGATCAAACCATTCACGTAACACCTTGCACTTTTACTTGTTACATATTTTGTGTTTAGTAGGAAATAATCGCTAATACAAGCTTGTAAAAATTAGAGAATGTGGGGGCTTGACATGAGAAGAGATATGGAAGTGGCGTACGACCTTCACGGACGGCACTCGACGGAAGTATTCACCGAAGAGGCAGTTAATATCATTCATGATCATAACACTTCGCGACCCCTATTTCTATATTTAGCTCATGCCGCAGTCCACTCGGGAAATCCATACAATCCGATATGCACCGTTGACAAAGACGCATCCCTATTCACGAACATAACTGATTACGATAGAAAGAGGTTCGCGGGTGTTCTGAAAGGGCTCGATGACTCGGTCGGCCACGTTGTCCATGCTTTGCAAAAAAAAGAAATACTGAGCAATACTATAATAATTTTCACGACTGACAACGGCGGCCCCGCGGCTGGTTTCAACTTGAACGCCGCCTCCAATTGGCCTCTGCGAGGGGTGAGTATTTAAAACTACCAACAGCGAAATTTTACCAAAAATCTATATGTATTAAAGGTTAAAAACACACTATGGGAAGGAGGTGTACGCGGGGCAGGATTGATTTGGTCCCCATTGATCACCAATGTTTCAGTCATCTCGCTACAAAAAATGCACATCACTGACTGGCTTCCAACCCTTCTAAGCGCTGCTTCCATCGAAAAAGTGTAATAATTTTATTTTTAAATCTATATAAATACAAATTAACAATATTTTAATGTTTTTAGATTCCCGACACCGATCGATGGCATAGATAATTGGGCAGGGTTCTTCGGCCATCACGTCGGTCGCACTGAGGTCCTTCATAACATCGATGACATATATGGAAATGCAGCCTTGACAATGGGCGACTGGAAAGTCATAAAAGGTTATTAAAATCATCTAGCGATTATTACCCTCTATTTAAAACAAAAAGCATTAGCGTTGTCTTAATGTATGATTTACAACCTCCTGAAGACATCTTAAATGCTAATCAACCTTCAATTTTATCACACTTTACCCATCCCTCTGCCTGTAGGACACATTTTTGAATACAGTTTTGGATGTAAAACGACATAATGAAAACGTTTCTTTTCCCGTTAACCCAGATTTGAAATGTCAAACGAGTCAACTAGTGTATAAGCGGAAAAGAATCGCCAAAACAGGTTCTGTCATTAGACAACAGCGTAGGCGTTTTGATTGATAAAACATAAAAGAATAGAATGACAGAAATCGATGGAATGGTGGTATAATATAGTATTTGAAATCGATCAAAATCTTATAGCATTGCTTCTGTATACTAAAAACTTTTATAGTTCTTCAGGATGACGTTCATAAATAAGAAATGAAATTTTAATAGCACATATACAGCATTTTATTTTTTTGTCACCAAGTACAAGTCGCTAGGATTATTGCTGCACCAACCTGATAAAATAAATTAAATTTATCTGCAACCTCAACATAGAAATGAAGATAGATTTTTCTCCAAAATGCAGAAAATAATCCGAAGTAACAAGGCAGATTAAATGACAACATTCTGTTATTCTGTACTTATGATTTTATGACCATAATCATACAAATTCTTCTCCAATTATCATTACATACGATAATGATGATGTAATCACCGAAAGCATAAAACGATTTGTTCCCGATATCTTATCCTCGTTATGTTTTAAAAGATATTTTGTGACTGTCTTTAAAATTCTTCGTGTTCTAGGTTTTCAAGTAAGCCCATTTTCGTTCTTTTCGTGTGTCTTGTAATACCTTGTATGTACTTATTTCAATTCTTTTTATGTAATGTCTTGGTTGAGATAAAAAACTCAGTGTCACGAGCGGGATTCGAACCCACGACCTTCGGCTAAATAGGCTGCTCTACCACTATCGTGACTTCGATCCTCTCGGACACCAACTCTCCATCTCAACCGACAACCGTTCGAATACCCTCTTTTTCCATTTTCTTGTCTGTACAGCTTATTGTACTTTATCCCTGACTCCATATTTTGGGGGAGGGCTCGAACACAAATGTGAACTTGAGCCCCCGTTGTACCGGTGTTCTTCCATCGAAGAAACTCATTTTTGAAGGGGGTTGGGACCAAATTCAGGGTCGCTGAGATCCGATCCCGCCCCTTCCATTGATGAGTGCCGTATCAATTTCTTTCAATTGTGGCCACCCTTAGGCGTCAGAAAAAGTCCAGAGGCGACGGTGGAGATCGAACCCACGACCGCGGGCTCTACTAGCCGAGAGTCTGACGCCTTAACCACTCGGCTACCGCGGCCCCCCTCGATTCGGGGGTTCGTTTCGTAGGTGCTTTTTGCAGTGCTCCTTCGTGTGGTGGTCGAATCTGGTGTCGATGAGCCAGATGGTTGTAGAGAGTTGATGTCGAGGCCGGATTTTGGCAATGAGTACGAGCTGTTGAGAAGACCCTGTTGCTTGTATACTTGTTACGACGCAGAGAGTGTGGCTTAAGCCCTTCCTTAAATATTGGAGTGGTGCTGCATGCTCATTTGTAGGCGGAAACATGGTCGAAGTGGTGGTGATTGCCAACAATGCGCCTGGTGGAAACGTTACAGGTACATAAGTGTAACATAGTCTTTAGTAAAGGTTTTATGCATCATTTAATAAATAAACTGGTTTTAGTTGGTACTAAACTGGTGTACTTCTTTACTGTCTTCATTGAAGTATTTGATGATGTAGAATGAAATCAAATAATACTTTCATGAGGAGTGATGTTTTGGTGCTTTTTCACTATTGATTGCTAGTGGCTATGTATGGCATTTGTGTACTGTTTTTTTATTGTTTGTCCTTCTCATTTGTTCGGTGTTCTGTTGGTTCATCCATCACATACTTTGATGATTTTATAGAGTGCTAACCATTTTAATGGCAGATTTGAAACAGCTCTTGTGTTGTCTGTTGCGGTTAGTTTTCTGTATTAAGGATTATACTGGTTTTGTATTCGCCCCTAGCGGAAAATTTACATGCTTACATCACATTAAGTTGTGTTCGTATACTAAATATAAAATATGACTTAAAACATGTAACGAGGACAAACACCCAGCGGCGTTCCTCATTTGATCAGATTTTTAATAAATTCGGTAACAATAACTCCCATTAATTAATCACTACAGTAATAGGTACGAGTTTAGGATGGTACAAGATCGGAGTCTTTCTTTTCAGTCTTCTTTGTAATGTTGGAGTTGGTTGGCACTGGGCAATTTCTTGCATCAGTTAGTTGGGATGCGCCGTGGTGTACCCGTGGTATCGACTGTAGGTGTCCTTGTTCACATGTCCAAATCTTTGCGGATAGTTTGGTTCCGAACATGCCATCGAGCAATTGTTATTAACCGGAGGATACGGTTCTGAATAGTTTTTTATAATTTGTGAATCAGATGCCGATGACTATATGGTGCAACCGTATTTAATATAACGTGGATAGTTTGGTTTTTTGTTTTTACTGGGGAGGAGATGTTTCCTCTATTTTTATGTTCGATTTCTACAACCAATATGTGGATGAATGTTTTTATGTAAGGAGTTCAGATCTGTTAATAAAAAGAGAACACTAGTAATTCCTGTCACTAGGAGAGAGGTACCCTTTGGATGTCAGATCTGAAGTGATTCTTTTCAAAGTTTTACACAATAAAATTATATATTTGTCAAAAATGTTCAGAATAAAGCACACTATCCTATTTAGGAACGACGTACGGAGGGGAATGGGATGGATGGTTCGGTCCGTCCGGTAGAGGAGATGAATACGATCCACGTCTAGTCGTCAGCTCCTTAGCCGGCCAAGGGGCGATTTCCGTGGGACAGATATTGACTGAAGAGTCCGTGAGTAGTTTTTCAAATTACTTTTGTATTCAGTTTTTATCCAATTCTGTTTTTAATTTTGCAAGGTCCGATTGATGAGGAAGCACGCCGAAGTCGTTTGCCAGTCAAAGGAAAAGACACCTTGTCTACCCATGGAATCCCCTTGCCTTTTTAACATAAAACTAGATCCTTGCGAGTACAACAACCTAGCAAAGTCGTAAGTGCATATAAATATCTCAGAATATGACTGTTATTTATTTTTCCGTTTAAACCAGTTATCCGAGAGTTCTTAAGCATCTCATGGAAAGACTTTTGGAACTGAACAGGACAGCAATACCACCCGGAAATCGTCCTATCAACCAAAAAGGAAATCCAAAATATTGGAATAATGTATGGACCAATTTTGGCGACTATGATTTTGATTCTGTAAAGGTTACTGTAATTTAGAAAATATATATTCGCCAAATTACAACCATCAAAGTAATTACCTATTTACGACATTGTTTACATGAAAAATTGAAACATTCAAGTACAAACTAATAGCATGCATGTAAACTATTTTCCGCGTGTCTTTGCTGTGTTTGAATATTTGTGTGTGTGTGTGTGTGTGTGTGTGTTTTTGAATATTTGTGTGTGTGTGTGTGTGTGTGTGTGTGTGTGTGTGTGTGTGTGTGTGTGTGTGTGTGTGTGTGTGTGTGTGTGTGTGAAAATGTGTTAAAATATTTTTTTATTTTCCATATTGCGATTAAAATTTATTGTACTAATATTGTTGCCTTTTTTAAAAAGGTTGTATACTTGTTCATTGCTTTTTAAGATTTCGTTACGGCTTTTCACAATAATTATTTTTGATACAACAGTTACATTGTAGCACAACGATTACTATTTATTTATTCTTTTTCAGTCACGAATTAAAACTTATTAGGCTTATTATTTTAATGCAGCATTTATTGTTTAAGCCAGTAAGCCTTTTATTAACACCCAAAGGGAGGAATTCCTTAAATCTTGTTTTTCTACTGTTACTCCTTTAACTGTGTTCAACTTCCTCAATCCACTTTTTGGTGTTTTTTTTTTATCCGTTTCCCGTTTTTCTCTTTATTCGTGGTAACTCCAAATATTTCACTCTCGTCGGCTCTTTTGTTGTTCTCTTGATGGAAAGGTACCATCAACTCGGCAAAATGGTGGGTGATGTCTGGGTACCCGGTTACATAAGGCTGGAGGGTATCGAAAAGCCAGACGAGGCGGCAAAAGACGGAACGTCCCAACCTCCGGAAAGAGCCACCGCTATCCGGCCCTCGGACGCTACAGAAACATTAAAAACATGATTATTTAGAGATCGTGAGATGCGCTCTCATGATCTCAATAAAGATCGAAACGGTGGCATGATAAAGAAAATGTTTTTCTAAACCTACATCACACCAGACCGCATCTCACGATCTCTAAATAATCATTGAAGGTCACTAAATGCCACCCATTACAAAAATGATTGAAAGAAAGAGGCAGCGTCGGTGGGCCCGATCGGCGGAGCTCTCATCTATCCAGAGCACTGTTGAGGTGACCCTCGGAGGATCTGACGGGTAGAAAAAGAGCCATCCTTACCCGATTAAGGATAGGCCATGCGTGTTGACCCACGGACACTTACTTTTGGGCCATATCTTTTTCGACCGCTTTTGTGACCGGTATGTAGAGAAAGGTTGCTCGATCGTCCCACTCAATTGAAGAGTGTCATACGTTAGGTGTATGTACAGAGCGAGTAGGAATGCCACCCTGCATTTGGGGACGCCAGCGAGCATTTGGTTCCCTTTTTCCAATAGGCGGAAGAACATGGTTGTTTTATTGAGTATAGGTATAAACACGGAATATTGGCGTGAATGTGTAGATTGAGAGGGTCGGTGACTGAATATTGGCATCGACCCTCAGATTAGTTGTACATATAATAAGATGAAAAGGTGGTGTAGTACCCAACCACCCTGAGTGAATGATATGTAAATTAAAAAAATGTGATAAGAGTAAGGAGAGTGTGAATGGGTTTGTATCTGGACACTGATTGCGTCGAGGGGTGCAATGACCTGGTGTCCATAGCCCTGGACCACTGCTGGTTGGACGGACTGAGGTCTGACCCCAGACTGCTAACACCCTGGGTAGGTTATTCTCAAGCCCTTATCGTAAATTGCAAAACTAGAATTGCTAGCGAACTTTGAAAAGTTATAGGCCCAACTCTGTACACATGCATTTGCAGATTTAAGCTTATAACCAGTATTTCACTCAACTCCCAAACGTTTTACTCTATTAAGTTCGAGTGAGGACCTAGGGGCCTTCTCTCAGGCTTGGGCGAGTGGCACATCAGCGCTGAACGTTTCTTCAACAAAGAAAAAAAATTAATCTTTATGTAAGGTATTGGTTGAGATAAAAAAGTCAGTGTCAAGAGCGGGATTCGAACCCACGACCCTCGGCTAAATACGTCTCTGCTCTACCACTTAAGCTATCGTGAATTCGATCCACTCCGACACCAACTTCCTTCCCATCTCAACCCACCTTTCGAATTCTCCCTCCTATCTGCCATATTTCAAATGTGTAATTTATGCGATTCTCGGCGACAAATGAAATGGCCACGGAGAGCTTTCCTGAAGATATACTTCATTTTACTTATTATGTATTATTCATTATATTTCATTATACATAATCTTTATGTATTGGTTGAAATAAAAAAGTCAATGTCCGTTCCAGTTGGTGTGGTTCGAATCCCGCCCGTGTCACTGACTTTTTTATCTCAACCAATACCTTAAATAAAGATTAATTAATTGAAAAAAGTTATTCGTTCAATCGGAGGGTTCGTGGGAACCCTAATGAAATTAAACAAAAGAAAGGTGAGCCACCAAATTTCTTGGTTCCTCGTTTCAAATCATCTTACTGTCGAGGAACTCGCAACAGAAAGCCGTAACATTTATAATTTTTTATTGTACCATTTAAACTATTGATTGGAATAATTTCACCTAATATCACATAATTGTCAATATGTACTAGCTAAACATATGTTAAACAGAGTTAATGCAGTGTGTTTACAATTTTTAGATAGAATTTTTTTATTAGTGTCATGGACTAGGACGAATTACTACGTAAAATAAGAAAAGTTCAAGTTAGTTACCCTGAGCAGCTGGAACAGCCCAATATGAGTGTATTCAAGAGGGTGTTTCTCCTAATATCAACCGGCGTCTGTGGAGTAATAGGCATTACAATGATTACGCTCGGTGCGAAGGAAATCATGGATGGGACGTTTCTCGATGGTTTTGCTAAAGAACATCGTTATATCACAGCGGTTTTTATCACCTTGGGTGTTGTAATATTCTTGCTATCTGCTATCGGCTTCCTCGGGGTGATTTTGCAGAACAACACCTTACTTCGAATGTACGCATACCTTATGTTGACGTTGATCGTGATACAAGTGTTGACCGGTTTCTTGATACTGTTGTTCATCGATGATATACGTAATTCAATGTTCAACAAATTAAACGAAAAGTTCAAGAACTACGAGAAGAACAAAAACGAGATAGACCAACTCCAGTTGATACTGAAGTGTTGTGGATTGGCAGGTGCGAGAAATTGGAATGTGACCCTGCCTGCGTCTTGTTGCGGTCTGACAACGGGCAACTGTACCGTATCGTCGGCCTATCCTGACTCTTGTACCCAAAGAGCCGAAAATGCTTTAGTTACGACATTGTATGTCCTGAGCATAAGTTCCCTCCTCATTGTACTCTTTGAAATAAAATGCATCATTTTGGCATGTTGCCTGAGTAATGTGGAAAGTCCGACGCAAACTAGGAGGCAACTATCGCCAAAATTCGGAAAGCGTAAACGATCGTCCGATGAGAGCTCGAGTAGTTCATCGAGTTCGAGTTCTAGTAATGAAGAACAGAAAACAAATAAAAAAATAAATGAAGATCAAAAAAAAAAATAGGAATGCAATATGTATAAATCGTCGATTAAATATATGTCTACTTACAGAAACGTTTCTTATTAATGCAGTTCGTTTTTATTTTTCAACTAATCATGGAAAAATATCGAAAATGAAGGATTTACTGACTGATTTACATTCCAAACAAACCGATTGTTTTAAACATATGTGTACACATATTTTGCGTTTTTATATGGTTCATCCATGATTATTTCTTATTAAATTCACTAGTTTTTGTGACCCGCTTGACCAATTAATATCTTTCAATTAATTAAGGTTTTTAGTTGAGATCAAAAGTCAGTATGAGAGCGGGATTCGAACCCACGATCTTCAGCTAGAAACTCCGCTACTCTACCACTTGAGCTATCGTGACTTCGATCCACTCGGACACTAATTTCCCATCTCAACCCCACTTTATCTTTTATATTTATTAATAAAAATGAAAAGTTCAACTTAAATTCGCTATAGCAACGAGACCATGCAGTATTTTGAAAAAAAAATCTTATGTTACGGATAAATATTTGTTTATAACTGTTCGACTAATTTAATAAAGATTTTAAAGAAGGAATGATTGGTTTATGTAGTAAATAAACAGATGTGGATTGTACGTTTTTTTTATTAGTCTCACTACTTTTTTAAAAATTTTTGTGTCTTCAGAAGCTTCTAAATCTAAATTCTAAGGATCTAAATTGTAAAAAATGTGTATGATTAATATGATGTATCTTTTAATCGCAACGATCGCCAATGGGGTATTAGGCATCACCATGATTGTACTCGGTGCGAAGAAAATGTGCCAAGCTCTCATTCTCGACCCTTTTGTCTGTGATCCCGCACATGTCGTGAGGGCATTTATTAGCTTGGGGATTATCCTAGTAGGAATGTCCATCGTCGGGATCGTGGGTTTGATTACGTACAGCGAACCCTGGATTCAGATATACGCTTGTTTGATGTTGGCCCTGGCAGTGATCCAAATCATAACCGGTGGTATTATATTTCATCGGATGAAAGGCATTCGTACCGCCCTCAATAACGGACTCGAGGAAAAGTTCCAAGCCTACGCCCAGCACAAAAGCGAAATAGACAAACTCCAATCGACCTTTTTATGCTGCGGCTTATCGGACGGGGAAAAGTGGAACAATACGGATCTACCGTCGTCTTGTTGCGGCCGGGAAACAGGTATTTGCTCACCATCATCGGCCTTCAATTCCTCTTGTTCCGATAAAGTGGGAAATGTGGTCGAAGAAGGCTTTTATTTCGTAAGCATCTTCTGCTTCGTTCTAGTCATATTGGAAATACAATGTGTCGTTTTAGCCTGTTGCTTAAGCGATCTCTTCGTACTTTGTATGAGAGTCATCATGCGGTTGAAGAAGATGTCACAAGAAAGCCCAAGACGATCAACCAGCATCTCGAGAGATCCTTCTTCCATTCCAGAAAAAGTTAAGATAGAAGAAAAGAAAGAAGATAAAAAAGAAGATAAGAAAATAAGAAAGAAGATAAGAAAGAAGGTTTGAAAGAAGATAAGAAAGTAGATAAGAAGGAAGATAAAAAAGTATATAAGAAAGAAAAGAGGAGATTTTTTAAGAAAGAAAGAGCGTGAGAGCGATTCGGGGAAATCAAATCGTAAAAACACTTTGAAAACAAAAATATAAATCCTTATTAATTTGTACAATTTTATATTAAATTGAATGGAAAAAGTTATCATATGTTTACACATATTTCTTATGTTTTGGTATGGTTCGTTTGATATTTTTCTCGCTTCAGTTCGATTATATTCTTTAAATGTATTAATAGAAAATGAAAAATTCAGCGTAAATTTTATTTTAAATCCAGTGAGATAAAAATAAGTGGGCAGGACGAATGAGAGATGTGTCACTCAATCAAGTACATACTTTGGGGCCTCAACATCCTATGTGCGATATCGGGCTTGGTAGTCATTCTAATTGGAGCGATGGCGTACCTTCAGGGCCGACCCTTCAATTCGATCCTGGACGGCCAATTGACTATCATATCCAATTTGTTCATCGTCGTTGGCATTTTTATTCTTCTCAACTCATTCCTCGGTTGTTACGGAATTATGAATGGACACAGTTGTATGCTAATGGCGTACGCGGGGACGTTGATAGCGCTCGTCCTCCTGCAGACCGTCCTCGGGGTTCTGGCGTACGTCTATAAAAACAACCTGAAAAAGGAATCATCTACTAGACTAGAAAAGCATTACGAAAATTACGAAAGGCACAAACAACGCATCGACGTTCTACAACAACACATGGAATGTTGCGGAGCTCGCGGAAAGCAGGAGTGGAAAATCGAGCAGCTGCCGGCATCTTGCTGTAAATTCGATAAAGCGATTGGAAAATGCACCCGGGAAAATGCTTACAACGTTTCTTGCACCAGCCAAATTGAAAAAGTGATTGTTAAACAATTCGGCCATGTAGGTTTCACAGCCTTTGCAACAATGGTCACCGAAGTAGGTTGCTTCATTTTCGCATTTATTCTCGCTTTACGTGAATGATTTGATTTTGATCTAGATTTACCAAAGTGGATATTATAAATACAAATAGTTTACATCCATGCCTTTTTTTCTGTACAAACGTTTACTTTCGTACAAACTCCCTTCTAATCAATTAGCCTATTTTGTGTGAACATATGGATAACAATGGTCGGAGAGCAAAAATTTTCTACTTCAATTTTTTATTTACAAAACCGGTCTAGCTAGAGAAACCAACCGACCAAAATTTATGTTAGCAGATTGCTACCACATCAAGTCCTCTTTTATAATTTATCTTTTGACAGGGCAGCATCACTTTGAATTTACTGATAATCTGTAACCCTACTCATTACAATATTTCCTAAGAGTTGAGTATAAAATTGTCGAAGTATAGCTGTATACGGCCCGACATACTAATGTTAAACAGGAAATGACAAGGACCAAGGGAGAGCATAACAAAATTAGCAGTTACCTTTCTGTTGTCCTGTCGAGCATTGAAATGGGGACTAAACATTTTGAACAATTACAGTCTTACAACCGCTCTTTAGTTGGTTGATCAATAAATACAAAAACGAAGTCATACATGTGTCACGTTCAGATTTAAATGAACCGCCATGCCCCTCCACACACTCAAACAGTGAAAGGAGTAGGGGCCAAGAAAGGGCTGTTTTTCAAGTCCTAGAATAGATCCCTTTCTGGCTTGTGTGGGTAAACAGCTATTTTTGGTAAAAATAAGCATTTGGTGTGCACACTATTCAAGTAAGTTAATTTTATTACTTTGACGTCAAAATAAAAAAATAATAATTGTAATTTAGTTTTAAAAAGGTATATATTTTTATAAAGAAAAATAAAAGAAATAATATTTCATTTTAAAAGTTGTGTTAATATTTTAATTGTATTTTCTAATTTGGTGGTCAAAATTTTAATAATAATAATAATTTCTTTACCTTTCTTTATGGAACTATAAAACGAGAATCAAATTCCCTTTTAAAATTAAGGTTTGTAGATTTGAGATAGGTTTGTAATAGGATAAAAGGATTCTTTAAATTAATAATAATAATTAATAAAATATATTGTCATTTTATGTGAAAATAAATTGTAATTAAAGATTCAAATTTAACAAACATTTGGTGTCATAGTTACTTTGGTTTAAATGAAATATAAAAGGTGCCTGATCGATAAATGAAATAATTGTAGTCAGGTCCGATCGTAAAAAAACTCTGGGACCTGTTTTCGATTATCCGAATTCAGGGTTGGGCCCAACAAAAAAGAAGAAGACACGCTATATCACACATGGATACAAACAAAGGAAATGAAATAAAAATCAAAACCAAAAGAACAAGCTGTTGTACAAAACCCTAAAGTTTGACGACTGATGTAAAATCTAATGATTTGATTCTCTGGCTTTTACTATTTTTTGTTTATTCAGGTGATAAATAAAATTAACAATTTCATAAATTTCAGTGAACCAGAGGAGCAACGTGCTTGATCCCGATCGTTCTCCTCTTGCTTTTTCTCGATGATTTTGTCTGTCGGAGTTCTCCATCAGTGATTTGGGTGTGTTGTGTCGTTTGTGCCCAGAAACGCGGCTGACAGACCAAAACTACATAGACACCCAGTAAGTCCAGGATCATCGGGTCTACAGGTCCAACTCCATCATTTTGTGGTGTCTAGTTAATTAAACCACCACTTCTAAAAACAGCTCAAAATCCTTACTATGATGCCATTCGGTAGATCAGTAATTTGTGTTTGTTTAGTCAGTCATAAAAAATTGAATAATAAGGTATTGGTAAGTACAACCATCCAATAAATGTTGATATGAAGCCAATTAGCCATATATCCCACTAATAAAAATAAACATAGCAATAGCAACAGAGAATTAAATCCTACACGTCCTACACGAGCCAGGGTTTTCAACCAACCCTTATGCCCTGTTTAAAAAAGTGGATCGGTTATTTGTTTTTGTTTAGCCATAAAAAATTGAATGGTGAATAATTAAATAAGTTTTTTATTGATTACTGTTGAGCCTATCACTTCTCGCAGGCCACCGGCAATTCCAGCTTTTGTAATTAACAAGAATTGCCAGCGGGCCTCGAGAATCACCACCCTGAGTGATGGCAGTCCGGAATCAGACCTCGTTCTTATCCGTCCAACCGCCGAGTTTGGGCTCTAAGGACTATCAACAGCAATTTCAACCATCAACGCAATCACTTCCTAAATCCATTCACTCAGTTGGAATTTCTCCATCACCCATTCCACCTATTATATAACTAATTTAATTGAGGATCGATGCTCAATATTCCGCCACACCCTCTCACTCTACACACTCACGCTAGTAAATGCAAGACATTAAATTCATGTATATATGTTGTAAATTAATTACAATAAAACAACCTTGTTTCCTTCAAAAATCGGAACAGGGAACCCAAATACTAGCTTCCAAGAAGAATTCTCATATAGGATAGCGTTCCTACACGCTCTTTATATAGAGCCAAGTAATGTCACCTTTCAATTAAGTGGAATACATCGAGCAAGCCAATTTACATGTCGGGCACATCGTGTGAGGATGACACTTCTTCTACGAGTCAGGTCCTCCGAGGGCCACCTATCGAGTGTAAATCAGTTTTTTATGATATTTTATGATTTTTTATTGACGAACTTGTTAAATTGTTAAATTAGCACAATTAAATATCAAAATATAATACACCAAAAATTTGTTCTGATATTAATAACGTACAAATTAAGGGGAAAGCAGAACGAAGAAGTATTATGTTAGTTTCATTTTCCTTTGAAGCTTTTGTACATTCGATCATTTCAAATCATAAGTTCAGAAAGCAAAGTTGTTAAAGTGTCACCTCCTTGCATTATGTACTTGACACCTTGGTACCTCCTCTTCAAAAGATAAATGTCTCCCCTTGCCCGCCCTGGAAACTACGTTAACTTAGAATCTCTCTAAACTTGACTAAGTTTCTAAAAGAAAGCACCCCGCCTGAGATATGCAAACAGGAATTCCTTAAACTGTACTTCTCTACCACAAAGGCGATTTTCGTATTTGCCGACGTCTACAAGAATTCAATGGTGTAGGAGCTACCTTCGTAAGCAACTCCAGAAGTTATAAGATTGCTCTTCCTGCAATAAGCTCGTTGCGCTCAATAAAAGTTTGAATATTGTTTGCCCTCAAAAAGGGTTTAATACACTTAACTAAATTAATTAATTATATAATTCTCTATGCGCACTATCTTGTAAACTGGAAGACAGCTAAGGTTATAGTATTAAAAGATCTGACTCTTCAAAGCAGCTATCGCCCTTTTTCTCTTCTGTCGTGTATAAGCAAGATAGTTGAGTGCATTATAGTGAAAAGGTTGAACACGTTTATAGAAAATAACGATATCGTTTCAAATAAACAATATGGCTTTCGTAGGCATCATTCTACCGTTGCACAATTTGCAAGAGTGACATTGTAGAACACAATTATAACCTCAACAAGCATACTGGGATGGCACTAATAGTTGTTGAAAAGGCGTTTGACGGTGTGCACAGAGGTCTTTTTTTAAGCTACTTAGAGAATAAGGATTCTGGTTGGACTCCTGACAGGGCAGAAGGCACATACACCGGATAGGAGTACAGACAGAAGAAACACTATGCAGATACTGCCAAGAAGAAGAGTCCGCAGAGCATTCTATGATTCTGTGAAGGTTTATCTAGGTGCAGGTTCTTGCAGCAAGGATAAGAAAAACCTCAAGCAAGATCCTACTCTAAGGAACCGCTGGCAAAGCTGCGGAGGCTGATTAATAACTTGAAGCTGGCCAGTGAGTTATAAATAACAGAGGTGCACAATAGATCTATTCAGATCGAGGTGCAGTAGGCCTTGTAACCACATCTTTTGTCCTATCCCTATCCCTATCCATACTTAAAGAATAAAAATTCCATGTAGTAATTGGTAAAGCTGAATCATCAGTAAGACCTATCTCAGTTGGGGTACCCCAGGGACCCGTTCTAAGACCTATTTTATTTAACATATTTATAAACGATTTAACTAAAACGAAAACTAAATATAGTTATGCATTGTACGCAGATGATACAGCATTCTTTATATCGTCGTACAGAATAGAAACCATTACCAACCATCTCTCCATAGTTCTCAAGAAATGCTTCTAATACTTTCACAAATGGCGGATTTGAATGACCCAATGAAACTAAAACCGAAGTTATATTGTTTACGAAACGCAGGCCAAACGTTAATAGATTTGTTGGTGTAAACGGAGGAATACTCCCTTTGAAAAAAGAGATAAAATATCTAGGGGTAATTTTGGATTCAAAATTAACGTTCACTAAGTACGTTAATAAAATGTGTGACAAGGCATTGGGTACAATCTGCAATTTATGCTCTCTCTTAAACAAGAACTCAAAGCTTAGCACAACAAATAAAAATTTTATTTATTATCTTCACATTAGATCAGTATTACTGTATGCTGTTCCGGTTTGGTCAAACACGTGTAATACTATTTTAAGTTACAAATAGTCCAAAACAAGTGTCTCAGGTTGATTGGTTCCTTTCCTTGGTAGAATCCAGGAGATTATTTGCATTCCATATTAAACTTTGCCAACGTATCAAAACAAGTTTACATTGTTACTAAATGTTTTGTTTCCTCCTGTGTAAATAATAGCCAACCACATATTAAAAGTATTGTAAACTATAATTTAATTAATTAATCTTTATGTAAGGTATTGGTACCCACAACCTTCGGCTAAATACGCCGCTGCTCTTCCACTTGACTATCCTGACAGCTCGTGATAGAGGAGCAGCGTATTTAGCCGAAGGTCGTGGGTTCGAATCCCGCTCGTGACACTGACTTTTTTTATCTCAACCAATACTTTACATAAAGATTAATTGAAAAAAGCTATTCGGTCAATCGGACCACGAACTCTAATGGACTATATTTAAGCTCATTACAATACAAAAGATATAAAAATAAGCGTTTAAAACATATTCTCTTTTAAGGAAAATCTTAAATTATGTTAAGGTTTTATATTTTATTTTTTTACTTTTGAAATAAATAATTCTTTTTAAATTGTACAACTTTATTAGTCGATACTAAATACGCAGGGAACTGAAACATCTGAATCACATGTAGGGTTCCAATCTTTGTAGAGGTCATACAGGTGAAAAAAAGACTAAATGCTGGGTTCACAGCGCTTTCGGCACCTTATAGTGCCATCATCAGGATTTCCCAAGGATGAAGAAGACGATTAACATGGAAAACTATTGCACAAGCGTTTTGGGTTTAAGGTTAACCACCATAAAACCAGCATAATACATTTTTGTCGGTGAAAACAGACATCTCGCTAAAAATTAATATGACTAAAGGTCCAACTATTTTTTTTTTTTTTTTTTTTGCTCTAACAATTTCTTAAAAGTACTTTTGTGGTCACAGAGAATATTTACAAAAATTGCTTTCTTCACTAATCATACTAATCATAGCAGTCCAACCGGAGGCGACGGGGTTCGTCGTTCTCTATTTCTCATTAATTTTAATCCTTTGTACATAGCTTTAATTTTAGTTTTAAATACATAAAAAAGCAATTTTTATCTCAACCAATGCCTTACATAAAGATTGGTTAATAAAAACTGTAAACTTATATGATTTTTTTTCTATTTTATATTTTTCACACGCAAACATTATATGAAAACCGTAATTTATGATCATCTGACAAAATGCAAACAAAAATTAAAATCAGATTATGTTTTTTATTGATATTTTTTATAACACTAGTTAAAAGACGTACTTGTTAGTCCCCTTAGACTTGTATTTGAAAGCGGAGTTGACGAAGAGGAACAGGGATATTATGACGATGAAGGAAAATGTAAGATGGTAAATACTTGTCGGTTTGTTTGGGGAAATTACGAGAAATCTTATCCCGAAACCGAAACTCATACTGACGTTGAGAAGGCATAAAATAACGGTTTTACATTGCGGTTGAGACTCCAGATATATAAATGAATAAAAGTATACGTTCACGACACACTCTGCCAACGCTAGGCTGAATATTTGCAGAAAAACCCAAGGTTTCGACAATTCGGGGAATTCGTGGACTGGAAAACTATGCACATTAACATAGGACGGATTATCCCTGAATTGTCCGGGGTTCGTCAAAATCATTAAATACATGGTGCTCTTCCTGAATCTAATTCTGTTTGGAAAATGGAAATGAACCAAATTGGGTGCGACTCGTATTGCTATTTTGTAGAGCCCCTGAGGTATCTGAAAAAGGGTGGAGTTTTTGTCTACAAATCGAATTTCATTGCTCCTCTTCATGTTATAAAACCAAATCACAAAGTTACCGGGATTTTCTTTCGTATTCGGCGATGCTAGATGAACTTTGGCCATTTTATTCTTCTCTTCGTCGACCGAGGCCGAATCCGGCGAGTCTTTCAAGTCCAACATCGTGAAGCCGAGTCCGGAGATCAAACACGACTGCATCCTTCCTAATTCTGCCATTATGTTGAACGTCTCGTTAGTTTTCGAATAGGTATAATACACGTTCAATTGCGTTGACGACGTCTTGTTTTTCATCACTATGTTCAAAATGCTGAGGAACGCAAACCCATCGATTTTTCTCGAAGGGAACCACGAAGAACTGACGTAGATCGTTTCCTCTCTCAAGTTGTATATTCTTAGCTGGGCCGAACGAGCGGACGATTGCGTCTCACGAATATGCGACTTCTGTTCCCGGATAGCGAAGGCCATTAAGCTTGTCGCGACGAGGACGTACACGATGCCCATGAGATGAAAGTGGGTAACAAAAGTTCTGCATATCTTCATGAACGCTATTAAAATATACTCCAACGTTAAAAGGATGGCGATGGAAAAGCAGGACGTCAGGATGTGTGGATCCATTTCGGGAAGCAGCGCATGCACAAAGTCGGCGGTTTGGTCTTGATGGTACATACAAGTGAACAACAAGACGGCGTATGAAATAGTGAACGGATTGATTAAAACGATTAAAGTCACGACGTTAGAAAAATGTTTGCCTTCTTCGCTCATTACAGGTCCACTATTAACCAATTGAAATTTTTCCACAGAAGACGGGCGGCGGTAATTGCGTATATTGATTTTTTTACTACTGGTTTTGTACCATTCGATTAAGTAATTTGTGACAGCATGAGGCACTACCTGTTCCGAACGGATCATCTGCCTGCAATTCACGAGCATCGCCACGATTGTCAAGTGTATGGCCAGACAAACGAAAGATAGCAACAGGAAGTAGCTGAAATCGAACACCGTGATGACTACACCGATGATATAACCGATTATCTTCAGAATTTCGAGTTTCGTCAAGTATCTGCGGAGGAAACCGTTGCTTCTGTATGAAGACACTTGTTCGACAGCAATTATCTTCCAGATAACGCTAAAGGCGTGAGTTAGAGTTCCCGAATAAAAAATTATTTGTGCCATCGTAACATTTAAAGGCCCCATTTTAAACAATCTGCTACTTACTCCTGAAAAAAAACACACAAGTGGTGGCAATGTAGCGATACCGCCAGCAATAAACAATGTCTGTTTCGCTCCGATGTAATTATCCGAAATGTAGGCGTACACGAGAGATATCCAAGATACCAAGAATAGGTATAAATTAAACTGCGTTATCCCTTCGATATCTTGATTGGCGAAATACCATCCGAATTGTTTTCCTGCTTCTGCACAGAATGTTACTACAATTTCTGAAAACGGTCCCATTATTAAAAAGCCTCTCATGAATTGAACTTCTGAAGAATGATCAACTTCGTATATTCTTCCAATCATTGAACCTTTCTGAAATTTCATTTTTACAAATCAATGAAGCCAAAATAAAATATCATCAAACATATGGTATATATGTTTTGTTTTGTCATTCTTTTTTTTAATACAATATACATATATAAATATCAGAAATTTAGCAGCTGATCCTGCAGGAAGGAATCCAGCATGTTTACCAAAAATTAAATAAATAAATAATGATTCATTTGTATTAAAAAAAGAACCCTTCTTCAAACAGATCAGTTATTAAATCATTATCAATTATATCTGTCTTTAGTTAATAATAACTATTGGATTAATAGTAAACTTTAGTCGATATGTACCACATTACTTTATTTAGAATTCTAACTTGGATTTGGTACCAGACAATGTTAAAAAGACTATGTTCTCAAACTGGTACTACCAGGGCAAATTTGTTAGCCAACTTAATCACAAGAAAAAAAAGGTTAGTACCTACTGATATATATACACATATATATATATATATATATATATATATATATATATATATATATATGTATATGGTAACGACTGATACATTTAAATTTCTCTTCTCCGGCATAAAAATAACAAGCAAAACCTTTTGGTGGCAAAACTGGTATCAATAACAGAATAAATGTATACAATGTGGAAGAAGCAGTGTAATAATATAAAGCATAATCCACCACAATTTTGGGGAATTGGCGCTATGACACAACAGATCTTTTTTTAATTTAGAATTACCTTGTGGAATCACACAATATGAACAATTACTATTTGGTGACAGCAGTGGAATGGAATCGCACAACATAATTCTGAACAGCTGAGACCCCAATGGGAATCATATGGTGAAATCCTCTAAAATTTAGTGGTTAGGTGGTTTACACAACACAGCAATGGGGTCATTCAGCAAGCTTCCCTACAACATGTGAAAATACACAACATAACCTCTAAAAAAATTAATGCTAGCAGTGGAAACTTACAATATAATTCCTAACAATTTGGGTAAATTGATAGGATCACACAATTTAACTTCGGTACAATTTGGTGGTACATTGTGGAATCACACGGCATAGCCTACAAAATTTGGTTGCAGAAATGAAATGCAATGGAATTATTCTACATAATCCCTAAAAAAATTTGGGGTATAATGTATTGGGTTGTTTCACTTGAAATGTCCGTTTCCAAGGTAAAGGTTTTTTTAGTAAAATTAATATATAAAGACAAAATAATTTTATTGGAAGTATTTACCTTCATTTTCTACACATTTTGCCCATGCATGCATGGCCAACTTTTTTATGCCGGAACTGAAGAATTCTTAACTTTGAAAATATGTAAACAAAATCTGAAAATGCTTTTTGAATTTGAATATCATTTAGAAAAAAATTTTGGCGAAGTTGTCTAAATTCCAAAACAGGTGAAAATCTGTTGGAGACAAGTCTGGAGAATAACGTGCATGCTAAAGAACTTTGTAGCCAAGCTCTTTCAATTTGTTTAGAGTATGTTTTGAAACATGAAGCCTGTCGTTGTCATGTAGGAGTGTAGGACCTTCCGACTTAACAATGCAGGTTGTTTTTTAAGTAATTTTTTATGCTTTTCATCAATTTCCTTGCAGTACGGTGTAGGGGTAATGGTCTCACCTCTAGGCAAAAAGAAGTAGTGAATAATTCCAGCCATAGACCACCAATCACTGGGTCACTATCAATTTTTTAGGGTGTAAATTTGGCTTTGGCATTTGCCCTGGTCTTTTATAGTTGTTTAAATACTGCCCTGACCAATGCTGATTATATGCAATCCATTTTTCATCACAAGTGATTATTCTTTCAAGAAAAAGCGCGGCTTTTTGCCTAGCAAGCAACGAAACGCATGTCTCAAGGCAATTTAACTGCTGTCGCTCAGTGAGCTCATGAGGGACCCATAGATCAAGCTTTTTGGCCTTTCCTGTGCCTTAATTGTCTTGACAGCTGCCCTTGCATTTAGTTGTGCTGCTTTTGATTAGTCCGCTGACTGTTTTGCAGTGGTTTTCTTCCACCTGAAGCTTAAGGACATGTTGTCAATTAAAGTTGGTCTTCCGTGGAGCTCATTTTCCAATTGGTATTCCCTTCCAAAAACAGCAAAAAAATGGCGCAAATGGTCCATTCATTTACACTCCCTTCCCCAAACACCTTCCAGATATTTCGTGCAGCCTCAACTAACCGAATGAGCGATTTTAAACTCGTAAAGGAATATTTCAAGAAAATCTCATGTTTGAGAGTGTGAAGGTATACCAAAAGTGTGTAATAGTTTGGGGAGCTCATCAATATAAACAAAAGTGGAGGATTAATAACTCCTTATTATTAATATGCATTAATTATACATACATTAATAACTTAATTATATATACAAATTTGTAAACAATTGGAAGAATCTACAGAAAACTTAATTTCTGAAACTATAAAATTGGACATTTCATGTGAAACAACCCAATTTTATCGCTATAAACATCGACAATTTTATTATATTAGCAGAATCATACATACACTCTAATGATTTGATGGCAGAGATGGAAGCACATAATACAAATATCAACAATTTTGTGATACTAGTGTATCACACGTGACTTCTAATGATTTGATGGCAGAGATGAAATCACATAACACAAATATCAACAATTTTGTGATACTAGTGTAATCACACATGACTTCTAATGATTTGATGACAGAGATGGAATCACATAATACAAATATCAACAATTTTGTGATACTAGTGTAATCACACATGACTTCTAATGATTTGATGGCAGAGATGGAATCACATAATATAAATATCAACTATTTTGTGATACTAGTGTAATCACACATGACTTCTAATGATTAATTTTGTGATACTAGTGTATCACACGTGACTTCTAATGATTTGATGGCAGAGATGAAATCACATAACACAAATATCAACAATTTTGTGATACTAGTGTAATCACACATGACTTCTAATGATTTGATGGCAGAGATGGAATCACATAATACAAATATCAACAATTTTGTGATACTAGTGTAATCACACATGACTTCTAATGATTTGATGGCAGGGACGGAATCACATAATATAGATATCAACAATTTTGCGATAGTAGCAGAATCAGGTGGCATCAGTAGCTGCAACTATTAAGGAGTTGGCATGGCACTCATCAGTGTAAGGCAAAGGTCCAGCGGCCCTGCCTTCAAAGCTGACATACTTACAATTTTTTTTTTCAAAAACACCAACACCCCAAGGGTTGATGACTTCTGTTGTTGAAAACCATTCCATAACCAACACTTTCACATATTTCTGTTTGCATTCATTCAGGTTTTCATGTTGTCCCTTTTTATGTTAAATAATGAATTTTAATTGTCATTATGATGGTATTTCATTTCAAAAACTATATAAGTCAATAAATTTTCGGTTTTAAATCGATGACAGTGTGGGTTATTTTAATTTAAAAAATGCAATTAATAGCTGTTTATTTAATAATATTTTATAATATATATAGATGGATATTGTTCACTACTGCAACTTATATATTTACAAAACATAGCAACTTTTACTATTACAAAAATATTACTAAAACATAGTCAACATAATATAGGAAAATTTTATTTTTCATTTACAGTATTTAAAATAATTAAATTATACTGTAAGTACAACACAAGTGTTTTTAACACACTAACGAGTTTTAGCCAAAATAATAAATAAATAAATACACTTGTAAAACCTATTTACATAAACCACAATCATTTGGTTTATTTTGTATAACAGTTTCAAACTAACCATCAATAAAAAGAGAAGGTAATTTTATTATTATGGAATTTCTTTGGGAACTTTGCAACATTTAAAAAAAATATATATGTATCAATAACAACATTCTAAATTATACTCGGTCACAGTTATTATTGACTATATACGACTTTCGCGACTGCTCTATCACAGAAAAAACATTTCAAATAGTTAATTGAATTTTTACAGAAGTTCAAGATCGCAATGACGTATTTCAGGAAACTTTGTCTAGAAACAAACAAAAATTCAATTATAAATTTGTTGCATTTAAACAAATGGAAAAAAATGAATGAACCAATCTCACCCTAAGTTTCATCTCTATCCGATCTATTTCACTCCCAATGTTGTCTATAATGCATTCGCTGTGTCGCAGAATAAATGCTTCCAACTCTTCAACATTCTTAAACCCTTTCACTTCCTGAAATTTGTATTAAGAATTTGTTATTTATCAAAAAAAATATATATAATAAAAAAATGGGTACCTCCAGCATCGCTTGTAAATCTTGATGATCCAAATAAGATCTGGCCAATTCTCTTCCATCAAAATCTAGCTCAGCCTTGTATCTTTTATAAAAGAAAATTAATTATAAAATAGTATTATGTAACTTATAATATATAAAGTTAATTATAAAAATGTAAAAGCTTAATTCCAATATTATTTGTTAGTTTTTCTTCTTTAATTTAAAAAAATAAATAATTGCTATTTTTCAAATGCAAGAATATCCTTGTGAAACATCATTCAATTTTTCTGTTAACAATCTTACCTTATTAGAGAATTCCCCATATCAATCCCTTTAACATCATGAATTGCTCTGATCATTACGTCTTTTTCAAGCTCGGCATTGATCTTTTCTAAAAGTTCTTGTGGAATCGACCTTAAAATTATCAATTATCAAGTGAAATTCAAGCCATATGAAGATTAAACAGGCAGAAATTACCTTCCGACCAATGCAGCAACATTGGTATAAATAATAAAAGAGGCGACGGTACCAAGTAACCCACCGATTATCAAAGAACCAATCGCGTCGGGAACATGTGACTGATAAACGGATGTAAGCGCCATGCAGCAAGCCGCAACGCCCACACCTAAAACTGCAGCAATATCCTCAAAAAGGACCACGTTGACACTCGGGTCCTGACCTCTAAAAACTGAAATTACGTTCTTTTAATAAAAACCCAAAAAACATTAAAATTTGTCTGATATTTTGACATGAGCTTAACCATATTCTTGAAAAGACATTCCACTTTCTTTAGCACCCTTTTTGATGGAATTAATTGCGACCATAAGCGTAGCACCTTCTGAAACCAAGGAACCAGCAAGAATGCAGAATGCCTGAAGTAAAAACAATTAATTAAGAAACAATAAACCCAAAAGTTTAATTTTTTTATTACCCAAAAATAAGACTCAGTAGGCTGTGGATTTAGTAGGCCTGTAACTCCATGGTATAAAGACAAGCCAGTCCCTACACAGAATATACCCACTCCTGATATCAGTGATGCCACATATCGCATATTTGAATATCCGTACGGGTGGGCTGCATCAGCTCTCTAAAACTACTCATCTAAAGTTTGGACTAATTAAAATGAAATGGTATTCAACTGAAAAACCGTTATTTCACCTGAACGGACTTGTGAATTCCGAAAGCCAATATCAGCTGATTTATGGTGTCGGCCAACGAGTGAATACTCTCCGAAAACATGCTGTGCGACCCTGTGTACATCCAGGCAAGCAGCTTGAAGAGGAAGTTGCTTCCATTTCTACAATTAAAGAAATTAAATTTGATCAATAATTAATAACAATCAAATCTATATAACTGTTTTTCGTAGCATAACAGAACACTTTCAAATATATAACTACTCTTCGAACATTTTCAAAATTAACAATCTAAAATAAAATAAATTTTTTAGATTAAAAAAAAACCTTGCCACTCTTGCTGTGATTATAAATTTCATTAACACTTATTACAAAAAATTCTTTTAAATTAAAACTAGAAAGGAATTGAGTTTTTGTTTTTTAATTACTCACATTGTGATCGCTGTAAGAACGACTTTACCAGAGGAACCAAAAAGACCAGCTGTGTTCCTCAGGGCCATTTCTGTCTGAATACTGACTTCCCTTCTATAATCACGTAATCGTCTTTTGTTGGAAAACATACCTTACAGAAATAAATAAAAAATTGCAATAAAAGAAAAAATATACAAAAATGAAATAATTACTTTGTACATAAAGCTTTCTTTCAAGCTCCCTTTTTAAAAGTTCCTTCATAAGGTTTTCTTTTGAACCCCAGACTTCGATCGCTCTAAAATGTTGAAAAATAAATTAAATCTTTAAACCGCCTTTAATGGAGCTGCTCCTCCTCACTTGGCTTCAACGTCTTTCCTCCAGAAAACGCTGATTGGCGGTTCATTTTCATACGGAGATCTCCTCTTAGTCGCTTTGAGACATTCGAGGTCCTTGGGTTTTAAAGCGAAGTCTGACATCGCTTTAGCCGGCGTTATAAAATTCCGTTCCATCGAGGTGGCAGTTAGGTCTACCCGAATTCTTTTCTTTACAGCTGAAATTCACGCAACGGTAATTTTAAATATTTTATAAATCTAAAAAAATAAAGTAGCAGAATTAAATCTGCAATGTTGTATAGACAACAAAAGTCAAACTGAAACATAAATAAATCATTTAAAAAAAGTTAATTTAAAGCATAACAATGAAATATTTCTAACAAAGCTTGCATGCAAAAACCCAAAATTTATTTATAAAATGCAATCTATTTATTTTCTGTTTGGTTGCTATCAGTTCAGTTTTATACATAAAATAATTGTTAATAACAATAATAATATACATATTTATAATACATAAAAATGCAAGAAAAACTATTATTCTTCACAAATTGAATTAGAAAGAAAAGAACAGATAAACAACAAAGATTAATTTTTTTTATTATTTTGGCCTTTGAAATACACTTTAACTTAGTTTTGCTACCATTCCTAATGGTCAAAAACGTTACAAAAAAAAAAAAAGACTATGTTACAATTGGAAAAATCCAAGAAATAATCTGAAAAATGATTGTGCAAACATACTTTTGGAAATTAAATATTATGTCATAAAATGTTACACAGGATAAAACAGAGCAATATGGAAAAATGAAGAAAAAAAGTTTTCTGTAAACCAGTGATTCCTGAATTGATAAAACTCTGACCGATGGTAACCATGTTACACCAATGGATCCATAATTTTTAAAAAATAGAGTGTGTGTGTGAGAGAGAGAGAGTGAGAGTGAGAGAGAGAGAGAGAGAGAGAGAGAGAGAGAGAGAGAATAAGAGAGAATAAGTAGTAAAAGGTAACCACATTTCTTCCTAGAAAAACCAAGCACGAGCATTCATCCTCCACAACTGAACTCTGCGCAGCTGTTCAAAAGTTCCTAAGCTGTGTTTTAGAAATATAGAAACAAGCAATTAAGTGGCCACAATGCAACCCAGGGCATGAGAGGGTTGTATGAAATAAACAGGCTGATAAACTTGCAAAACAAGGTGCAGCACTCACTCTCGTCAGGCCAAAAACAAAATTAGGCCAATGACAACACGCAGCGGTTTTAACGAAGTTTTTATCACATCGGGTTTTCCAGGCTTATGAACAAGCAACAAACAATTCAATGAATCGTTGGGTCCGTAGAGCATGCACTGCCACAGAGAAATAATGACAGATTATCAATCCCATGCTCTTTCTATTTATATTAATGTTAAAAAGCCCAAAAGTATGTATCATATGAAGAAACTCCCACGTGTGTCACAATGCAACAACTCAATGCCAGGCGTTTTCAAAACTAACTCTCTGTTTCAAAAGTGACAGGTGGTATGCACCGTTATGTGTCAGCATAATGCTAAACCTATGGATGATGCACCGACTATGGTTTTCTCGCGATAAACTATTTGGTCAAACCTGCTGCGTGTGTCATTACCACATTTATTTTATTTGTTATTAAAAAATACTGGTCCACCCTGCTCTATGCAAAAATGTAAAAGATATGTCAACTCTATATAGCTGAAAGAGGAAAAATATAAATTTCAATCTTACCATCAGAGATGAGAAAAATATAAAGTAAAAAAAAAATGCAAATTTAAAATTTATAATATTAAAATATTAACACACAAATATCAGGTTTGTAGAAATTTTTGGTGAATAGACAAAATTTGTGTTTGTCGACAAATTTGTCTATTTTTTTAATGGCTCTTTAAACAATGTAACCTATCTCCTGCAACTTTTTTTTTTTTTTTTTTGGCAATGCTGTCATTTACACCAGCCTTACCTTTTTTCAATGGTTTCGCCTCTTTGGGCTTCTGACTTTTTTTCTCATCCTTCTCCACCGGCTTCGGTTTTTTCCCCAAAACGACACTAGCCTCAATTTCCTTCACCGATAAGTTTAGATTCGCTTTAACATCGGAGATCTGCTCTTGTTTCCCGGTTAGATTGGATTCGCTTATTACCGTCGTCTGACTCGTCTGTTTGCTCGGAGTCGTGCTTTCGACAGCCGGTTCCATTGTTTTCAAATCGCCTGAATTAAATATTGGCCAACAAAAACAAAAATCATAAAAGCAAAGGAAAAGTATGATTAAAAATATCATTAAAATTAAACATTGACTAATATAAACATTTGGTTGTATTTAATTAAACAATAATAAGTTTCTAATTGAAATTGTAATAAATAATATCTAGTTACAAAATGATCTGCATGCTAATTTTTTTTTAACTTTTAGTTTCCCTACCAAAAATTTAAATCCAATTGAGTTTTTAGAGTACCCCTTCCAAATATGCATGCAACAGGCAATGTCTCTACAGCCCTCACTCATTCCTGCTGCCAGGAAGCAATACAATTTATAAAAAATGTGTTTGCATTTATGTAATGAGAGAGAGAGGGGTCAATGGCATCTTCCCTTACTTAGGTTAGTAGTATATACTCTATATTGAAACACTGGACCAAAATGTGTATAAAAAAGAATGAAAGTTTTAAGAATTAGTGAGAAAGTGAGTGTGAATACATCTGTGTATTTATCTTATTATTTGATAGAGTTGGGCCAAAATGTGGTGATTATTGATGGTAGGGGGATTCACAAGACACAAGGTCAAACCACAGATGGCCATCAATTAAAATGAGTAGATCTAATCACAATAATAACAATTACAGATATAATGTAGAGATATAGACATCAAAAACTTCAAAATTAAACCGCTCATACCTCCTTCTTGTGACCGATATTTTAACACACTTTTCAACTACGAGGCAAGCCCTCAGAAAGTCCTGTCATTTTTTGAAGTGGGGAAATAAATAGTAAAAATATAGTTTATTGGTCCTCTTAATGAGATGAGGCCGTTTTTTAATTTCTTAAAAACTTTTTTTACGGGAAAAATGTTATTATTTTTGAAAGTCATAAAATAAGTCAGCTCTGATTTAAGACTTTGATTTTTAAAAATGTCCTGCTGAAGTCTATCGTCAAGAGCTCTGAAAATGTGACCATCTGATATCAACAGACCTGGAGAGTATGGAGGATTTCCTCTTAATTTTTGTGGTTTTTGGGCCTGAAGGGGCAATAAAGGTTTTTGATAAACTAAGCCTGAATTTAAATTTTTAAGTTTTATACCGTACCAAATTTGCTCATTACGTCACTTCTGGGTCAGTTGACTTGGAGGCAAAAGCTCACTGTGAACCCACTAATTTTGGCAGTCCAGAAAAGAGTAAAACTTGGAAGGATGTCAGGCTTAGGAAATTTCCTAGGTTCATTAACAAAGGAAATCCATTAATATGACCATCTAAAATTATTGACCCATTTTTTAATATAAATAAAAGAACTGGTTTAAGTGGGAATTTACTGGCACATCCGATTTGATATAGGCAATTCCAGACCACAGAAATGTGGTAAGATTGTGGTGGGAAAATGTGATAGGGATCTGGTTTAAATAAATCTCTACCTTTGTTCCGTCACCATCACGGAATCTAAAAAATCATCGAACACCGAGCATATTTTGTGAGCAGCCTCAGTCGCTTTTAAACTGGTGCTTAAATAAGTCAAAATCAGAATTAATTAGCATAGTAATACATTATAAAGAGAAACATTTTGTGTTTACTCTAAAAGGTCGCATAAACCACACACTGAAGAACTGATTGAAAAATCCTTTACTGGAACAACAATTTCTTACTGAAGATGACATCAAGTTGAAGTTCAAGAACAAGACAGACCCAGCAATCAGTGTCATCAGTTCAACACGTTCATCCACTCACAGACCAATCATCGCAATCAAAAACACTGAAGCTCAAATTAAGAACAAAAAGATTAATTTATAAGATGATGGGACTTTTCTGAGGGGCTGGTTATTATAAAAACTGGTCAATTATTAGAATCTATTGTTCTATGGCAATTATCTAATTTGCTAGTAATGATGTGCATATAAATAAAAAAAAAAAGCTTCTAAACAAAAATCTGTGAACTAAGGCTAGTTTTAACTGTAAAATAAAAGTTTAATAACAATTTATTTTAAATTGTGCAAATCTAATTCCAGTGTAATAATCACGTTTACTTGTTTGTAGACAAAACATTTGTTTTGTTATTAAACCATTTTTAGTGGCTTTCAGTCAATGTTTTAACAACATTTAGAAATCAGATACAGTGGAGCCTCGCTAATGTTTGCCTAATCACAACATGTTTCAGCTGAAGGAGAATTTTTTGTTTTAACTTTTTTATTTATTTTTTGTACTTCACTGGTATTAATTGGTCAGTGATAGTGGTATTTTTCATTCTAAACTCTAGCACTTCCATTCTTATATTTTGTTTTCTGGAGTCTGCCAGATGACGGACTGTAATTTGGGGATGTCCAAAACATATTTGTCTGCCTTTCCTTGATTTCTTCTTCCATCAGGTAAATTATGACTTCTTGCCATAGTCAATGTAGGGTTTCAACCAATAATTAAAAACTGAAGAAGGCAAGAAGCTGAAACACGTCTGACACACCAATATGATCGGTAACAACCAAACTACACTGTCACTTGTCCATCTTTTCAAAAGCTTACTGCTTATATTTCTGTCTGTAAATTCCTTAATAAAGCTTAATAAACCAGATTTGTTTTACTGCTTGTTCTGCATCAGCAGAGGTAATAAGACAATTCAAATTTATGCTAATCCTAGTCGCAATTTTCGGACTAGCTGGACTCCACTGTACCTAAATCAATTCCATTCATAAATCAGACAGACCATCTTGGACAATCACAATGCGAATTTTAAACATTAAAAACAGTATTGCATGTACACAGGGTGTCCTGTGAACAGAAATCGATATTTCAGGAGGTAATACTGCATGCCAAATTGGAATGTATGTCTGAATCTCCACAGTATTTGACGAGGTGCAGGTTGCCATAACGATTAAGGAGTTGTCATGGCAACTCACTACTGTAAGGGTTCATTCAACAGCCCTGAATTTAAACCCAACATATTCACAAATTGGCATTTTTTCCAAAACAGCAGCTACCAGGGGGTTGATATTATGTTTGTTGTTGTAAACCCCGTGAAAATAAATATAAAAAAATAAATAAATTTAAAAAATGAATCCAAGACATTTCTTTTCAGGTTGCTTGAACATTTCACAACTTTATTCCATGTCCCCCTGAATATCATAAAATCTTAACACTAATGTAAATTGGATTTCACCAGTGGAAAGAGCCATTGGTGAAATCAATTTATAGTTAACATTTTATAAGATAATGGGGGAGTTTAGAGATAGGGGGATAGGGATAAGTTGTGAAAGTTTGAACTGATTGTGATTTATATAAGCTCAAATCTGCACATACATGTAGAGTTGAGCCTATGATTTCTCGCAGTCCACCGACAATTCCAGCATTTGTGAAAATCACCCACCCTGCGTATTGGCAGACCAGGGTCACACCTTGGTCTTATCCATTCAGCCACTGAGGTTGGGCTCCAGGAGCTATCAACATTATTTCAGCTCTCAATACAATCAGTCTCTAGATCCATCTTAAATGTCTCTTTTCTATTTACAAGCCACTCAGTCATAGAGTACTTGATATTCCTCCATCATCCTTTACACCTATAACTAACTGACCTAATTGAGGGTCAATGGGGTATTCAATATTTCGCCAACGGCCCTCTCACACTGTACATTCACGCCAATAAATACATTCATTCTCAAACCACACTAGAGACATAAAACTATCAATACTATATACAATAAAACAACCATGTTTCCTCCAAGAATCAGAACCAGGGACCAAAACGGTGAAGCAGCCTGAAAAGTGAAATATCCTGGGTAAATCCGAGATTCAGACATTGTGGATTTTTTAGCTCTATTTGACATGCATGATTACCTGTTTACATATAATAAAATAAAATATTTATATCTGTTCATAGAATACCCTGTATACATACCCTTGTAGAGCAAACAGACACTATTTTCTAAGAGGAGACAGAGTGATCAAGCACCAGACCAGTTTGCAGATTTGGCAAAACTTTTACAAATGATTTTGACAAATTCATGCTGAAGATACACACCCTTCGATACGGCCTCTTTAATCATGTCCACCGTCTTGCTCTCCATCGACTGCTGTGAGGATGCAGCAGCTTTCTGCTCCGGCGGGCTCTGCGGAGGCTGAGTGGAAGAGTTCCTCACGCACGGAAACTTCCTCACGCCTCTCGAACGTGTCACGTTCCTCGCCTGGACTGATAAAATTATGTGGAACGTTAATGACGTGCATATTTGTCAGGAAACGTTTATACTTACCGACGGTGAGGCATGACAGCGGATCCAAGTAGTTGTAGAACTTGAGGTAGAGGCATTTCGCGACCTGATTTGACCGTGGTATCATCACAGCAAGATGGTTGTATGCGGTTCCGAGAGTGAAAACGTCAATCCGCACTCCTCTCAGATCCGATTAAAACAAATCGTGAGGACGGATTTTAACCTTTTTGTTTAAAACTAATCCTATCCTTTTAACGTTTATTAAATAGGGTTCAACTGTATTTAAATTAAAACGGATTGACGCGTTTGTTAACTGGCTCTTGAGTGTTGCTCTAAATTATAACAGAGAGGATGAGGTTACTCAACTCAGTTTCCATGTTTGTTCAATCTTGCTTTTTCGTCGTCTTTCGACGTCTCCCGTCGTTTTATTTCGCAATATTTTAAAAACAAAACCGGAATCTCTAAACTAATTACATCTTCCTACATATGTACTGGTTATGTTTAAAACATAAAACAAAAAGTAAATCAGCGTTTAACTCAATCTTCATTTAACCCTAAAAGAATAATAATTTTCGCCGGGTAATTTTCATCTTGAGCTATTATCTCACAAATCACATCGCTAAAGACGTTTTACTGCAAATGAAATTTCTTCAAAATCGATCGATGTGACAGAACTCTAAAACACTGAAATTCCAGTTTTATTCTTATAAAAGAAGAGCTGTATCATCTGGAAATTGCAAAACTTTTTAAAGCAATTCCATCAAACGTCTGAAGAAAAACAATTTCTTATTAAACTACCATTATTACATACTGGAAGAAAAAAAACCTCAATTTAATTCATGTAGAGCAAAAAAAATACAATGGTAATAAATCGGTTGAATCAAAATTTTTAATAACACAAGCATATATTTAAACAATAATTATAATCCTCTGCCTATTTTTTGTTTTTACAATAAAGCCAAACCCATGGCCTTTGGACCTTCGGCAGCTGTATTAGTTTAATAAACAATCCTATCTTGGAAGTTGAGACGACTCTTGATAATACTTAACCCAAGGGGCCACAAAAATAATTCGAATTATCAAGAGAGAAAAAAAAGTTGATTTGCTTTTTTCTATGTTATTGCTCAAATTGTGCTTATATAAAACAGTAAAAATAATGAAAAAGCGTTAATAGATCAAATGTAAAATTAAACGTTGTTATGCATTATTATAAAAAAAAAAAAAAAAAAATGAAGTGGTTTATGTTTAATGTGGCTTGGCGTCGTTTCCATGATTTCTGGAAGTGACTAGTGTGAGAACACATTGATAAAACACTGACCGCAGAACATAACAACTACAGAAAATTCAAAGAAACTTTATGCTAAAAGGAAGCAAACGTGGAAATATAGAAGAATATAACAAAGAAAAGGGGCATTTTTGGCAAACACGGGAAATGGATCGATTTCGGTTAATAGCGTGCTTTTTCTCCCCCTGTTATGAAAAATAATTTGTTGAAGTAGTGAGGAGCGATCAACAATGAGGTAGTTTAGAAAAAAAAACCTTTTTCGTGTTTTTCCCGATGTTTCGAACTTTACTCCGATCATCTTCAGTGCCTGAGTAAATTACTAAAAAATGAAAAAGGTGTTTTTCTAAATTACCTCATTTTTGACCGCTCCTCACGACTTCAACAAATTATAAAACAACAGGTCACTAAGAAACACACGTTACGAAAAATATTTCGTACATCAAAAGTATCAAAATGCACAAAAATTTTTCTAATTACCGAAGTGAGCTGCTTAGGAGTTCGTATTATCAAAAAATTCGAATTAACAAGAGTCTAATATATACATTTGTTTGAATAATTTCTTCTTTTTTTTAGAATTAGATAATAAACCTTTTCTTTTTAAACGTTTTTATTTTACAACCAAACCTATTTTTGGTATGAAAAATATGAATAAATCTAAATACATTAAAATTTAAGGGCAGTGTGCTCAAAAGATTAAAAAAAAGAATCAGACTCAATCAGCATAAATCTGTACATATAAATTTTAAAATTCCTTTTCCCACTATAGATGGATGTATTATGCCATACAGCGGATGCAGCTAGATATCTGGAAATGAACCTAGATGCTAAATAATATCTAGAATTGGAACCAAATAAATATACATCATATTATATTCAATCATCTGTATACAAAAACGAGTGTGGAGTACGTTTTTCATGTATGTTAGAATATAGAGGTTGAATTTTCTTATAGTCGGGTCAAAGGAGTCAAGTAGAACGTTAAGTAATTGTGGATTGAGACATCTGTGATAATAGTTTGTAAAAAGTGCCATTTATTTATTAAAAACATTGCATTTAGTGCAAGAAATGACAAAAAGAGAGAGGAAATATTTATACATGTTGATAAGAGAAAACAATTTTAAATACTGACTAAATCTAGCCCTGAGGAAGGTGAAATAAACAGGCTTGGCCTGGTTTTATTGCAACATATTAACGACATCTTTGATACTACCAAATATATTATACATTCTACGTAAATACAGGATAATGTATTTAAAACAAATTTATGTGCACGCGTGTCTTGTCTCCGGCACGACTTTTGAATTTGAGCGGTGAAAAACGTTTGGAGCGACGAGGAGAAATGTCGTCGGATTGAACGACACAAATGGGAAATTTTCCAAAGTCGGATCCAAACGAAAAGAGCGGACGTGTGAAAATCCGTTTTCACCACGTTGAATAAAGAATTTTCCTCCTGGATTCGTTCGGCGCGGAAAACGTTTCCCAGGGAAATCGAGTTAAATATTGACGGAGGGCGAATGCGTAAATGCCTCGTGACGTCGATAAAATAGGCTTGACCGAGCGAACGACTGCCGATTAGTAAGGCGAGGGCAGCGGTGGGAGGAGCGAGTAAGAGAGAGAACGAGAGCGAGAAAGAGAAAGAGAGAGACAGAGTGAGCCGAGCGGTCCTTTTTGTGTTCTTGGCCATTTTCAACCACATGGCTCTGCTTATTATTTGAACGTATTTTTCGCTTCTGTCCGAGACGAAACGATCAGACGTAACTGCGTGTCATTTAGAGATGTTCAGCGTTGGAGCGGGTAGGGGAGAACTTGTCGAAACAGCCGAAGGGAAATATTCGAAATACGCGACGTGTCGCGGTTAGGACATCCGGATATAACTGGATCCAGGTGGCTCGGGCCTTGTCCAATATTGTTTCAAAAGCGTAATTCACCCGTCGGGCTTTTTTTAATATAATTTCTTTTTTAAAAGACGGGATCACCCGGAATAAAAGGCTTTTTCCCCGTGTTCGTTTTCTTCTGTCTGACGAGGGGAGAGTTTTATTGGTTACGGGATTGACCGTTCACTGGCCCAGTTTTCTTTTCTTTCCTTTACATTTCGACGAGGGGTGAAATGTCTTCGTCGTACAGTTCGGAAGAGACGTCTTCGGACAGAAATGTCGAGATTTGGAAGATCAAGAAGCTCATCAAGAGTCTCGAAATGGCTCGAGGGTAAGTCCACTCTCCCACCGACTCCGCATTGAGCGATACCCTCCCTTTTAATACACGACTTCCTCGTTTTCTATTCCTCTATTATATTCATTTTGTATTTTTTCCACTTTCAGGAACGGCACTAGCATGATATCCCTGATTATACCGCCGAAAGATCAGATATCGAGAGTGAGCAAAATGCTCGCAGACGAGTTCGGCACAGCGTCCAACATCAAATCCAGAGTGAACAGGCTTTCCGTTCTGGGTGCCATCACTTCAGTACAACACAGACTGAAACTCTACACTAAAGGTAAGACGAGGAAATTTTAGGGAAAATGGTCAAATATGGTAACGGCCTCACTGAGGGTACTGACCCTGAAACTCCTTTAGTCTCTGATAACTTCTTTTTTTTCAGCCTTGCAACATTTTACTTTCTTCAGCTTGTTAAAATTCAAAATTTTCATTTCTTTGTATGAATGAATCAGTGAACACACTCTTTTTACCTCCACTGAAACTCCTGTAAATTTCATAATTTTATCGGCCTTTGAAATTATCTGATAATATAAAACAAAAATATGCAATAGTTATGCAACGTAAAATGTATAAAAATATTTCAATTAATTATTATTTTCATCTAAGGTCTTGGTTGAGATGGAAAAGTTAGTGTCACGTGCGGGATTTGAACCCACGGCCTTCGGCTAAATAACCACTTGAGCTTTGTGACTGATCCATTCGGACACTAAGGCCTCTTTCAGACGAGGCGCCTAGTTGAATGGATAGGTGTCAAGGAGTGATGTGGTAGCTCGCCTTCACACGCAGTCAACTCATCCGCCCAGGCAGGTGGCGAGCAGGCACAGGTTTTGCTCATGTTCTCATCCCCACTGGTTGACTCAACACAAAAGACACCGGCATGCGTCCTTCACACCAGTCGTCTAGTTTAGTCAACTGAGTTCACCATGAAAAGTGTTGCAATTGCAAATTTCAATGTGGAGCAGTTCGTTATTATTATTCAGTATTAGTCCCTTGATATGGGACATGAGGTGTGAGGAGTATAGTGATAAAATTAAAAGAAGCGAAGCTTGGAGGGAAGTAGCACAACAGTATTTGAGAGAAAGCGCCTGTTTCCCAATTTTATAACAACAGATAATCCCACACTTTTCTTTGTTGGGTTTCCTCCTTTTTTGCTCTGCCTCCTTGGGTTCTAACATCGTACTGCCCTCCCGTTGGGAAGAGAGGTTGATTCGGCAAGTTGCCTGGTGTGAAATCAGCAAAGAAAGTCTTCACATGACAGTAAACTAGTTGAAAGTCAACCGGGCAACTTAGTTGAATCAACTAAACCGCCTCGTCTGAAAGAGGCCTAGCTCCTCATCTCAACCTACAACCTTTCGAATTTTCCCTCTTTTTCCCATTTTTCAAATGGCGTGTAATCAGGATTCGATTCTAAGCGAATGAAGTGAGAACTGAGAGCTGTTAGCGAAGTGATTACTTCTCTACTTTTGTATTAATCCATATATGTTTAGCAGTCATAATTAACCATATTAATTATTTAAATTAATTATTATTTTATGTAAGGTTGAGATGAAAGAGTTAGTGCCATAAACAGGATTCGAACCCACGACCGTCAGCTCGATACACCGCTGCTTTAACCACTTGAGCTATCGTGACTTTGTCCACTCGGACACTAACTCCTCGTTTCAACCTACAACCCCTTGAATTTCCCCTCTTTTTGCCATTTTTCAAATGTCATGGTATCAGGATTTGATTCTCACCGACTTATGAAGTGGCCACAGGGAGCTGTTAGCAAAGTGATTATTTTGTTAATTATTGTATTATATATGTTTAGCAGTCATAATTGACCATATTAATTATGTAAATTGATAATTATTTGGAGATCATGAGATGCGGTGGTGTGACATAGGTTTAGAAAAACATTTTCTTTATTGTGCCAACGTTTCTCGCTTTTTATTAAGATCATCTTTAGAGCCTGGGATTTATAAACATTGTTTAAATTATACAAATGCATGTAGGCTGTACAAAAATGAATTTCTATCATTGTACAAATTTATTTTTTCACATACTATTTGTATTTTTATAATTTAAAGAATGTTTGTAAATCCCAGGCCCTGAACATGATCTCAATAAAGGTCACAACGTTGGCATGATAAAGCAAATGTTGTTTTTCTAAAACCTACGTCACACCAGACTGCATCTCACGATCTTCAAATAATCATTAATTAACGGTCACTAAACACCACACATTTAAATTAATTATTTATTTTATCTAAGGAGTTGGTTGAGATGGTAAAGTTGGTGTCTTGAGCGGGATTCGAATCACGACCTTTGGCTTGGTGTCAGAGTGGGTTGAAGTCACAATAGCTCAAGTTGTTACAGCAGCGGCATATTTAGCCGAAGGTCGTGGGTTCAAATCCTGCAGTTGACACCAACTTTTCCATCTCGACCATGACCTTAGATGAAAATAATAATTAATATGTTCAGTTATGACTGCTAAACATATATGGCTTGTAGATGAACAGGTTGTCTGAAATTAAGTGCACTCCTTAATTTTCCAGGTACATTAAGTGCTAAGGTTAAAGGCTAAAAGTGGTCGTCCTCTTTACGATCTTACATCAATATAGGTGTTTGATGTAATAAGGTTAAGGCTAGTTTCATACGAGTTTAGTCGATTCAACTAGTTTCCTGCTGTGTGAAGACTTTTCTTAGCTGGATTCACACCAGGCAACTTGTGGAATCTGACATCCCTTCCTTTCAGGAGGTCAGTACGATGTTAGAACTAAAGGTAGCAAGAAGAGAAGCTATAAAAGAGGAAACTTAATTGAAGAAAAGTGTGGGTCTGTTACAAAATTGGAAATCGAGTGCTTTCTCAGCCTCACTCCTTTTAATTGTTATAGTCCTCATACCCCCTGTCCCACATAGGGGGCTATTCTTCAATGAATTGTTCCTCTCTGAAACTTAGCAATGTTTTCCATGTTGAACTCAGTTTACTCAACTAGGCGACGCGTGAACGAATGACGAGATGTAAACGTGAGTGGCACTTGTGCCTGCTGGTCATCTGCTGATTGGATGAATATGAAGTGATTTGTGCAATTTGCAACAGAACTGAAGACAATAATTTTCCCCACCCTTTTAAAGAAGGGTGACACAATTGCATGGAAATCTCGAGGAGTAATAAAACTTAAAGATATTGAGGTTTTTTCGCTCCCTCTCCACTATATTTAAGTGTAACCTTGAATTTTTTGATAGTGAAGTTTTTGTCACTCTATTTTTCTTTATTCTTTATTAAAGTTGTTTATACATTTGTTTGAGATATTGAGTTTAAAATATGTAGAAAAATATAGAATGTACCAGGACCTCCTTTGAGTTATTAAAATCTGACAGTTCTAAACAAGTTTATAATTTTTTTATAAAACTTTTTTTTTAATGCATTTTAATTATTGACAATTTGGATGGCTTGTCTCAGTTATTTTTCACCGAATAAAATAAAAGTTGTGCAACTTTGGCATAGGACGGAAATTTTAGATTGCTAGTGTCATTGATTTTACATCGATGACTCGTGCACCCATGCATCAACTATGAGTGTACACTTCTATTATTACTATGTTGATTGTATATTTCCACATCAGCAACCCTTATTGATTTTGCTTCAATGGCTATGTATGAAGTATGAGAGAACTTTTTCTTTTATTTTGGAATGATTTTCAAAATGCGCATCTCTTTATAGCAGCATTTTACAGGACTTTAAAATTCACAATATGGCAAGTATAAACAAAATTATCTATATATAGAGGGAACTGAATGGGCAAAAAATAAGCATAGTTTTTCAAAATATAGTTAAAAAATCAGCTCAAAATAACAAAAGCAAAAATAAATGCCATAAGGAAAAACTATTGCTAATTATTATAATAAATACCATTTAAAGAAATAAAAATTCAGCTAATAAAATTAGATAAAATATACAGCAAAAATTTACAAATAAATCTACTTATAAAAACAAAATTATGAAAATGCTGTCGCAAGTACATTAAGTTAGTCATTACTAAGCCTAGTCCACACCTAGCGACAATGTTCCGCTACAGTCCTAAGACAATGTTGCGTGTCCACACTACAAAGACAATTGGGCTACAAAAATCAGAACACGATGTCAAGAAAAATGCACTTTGCGTTTTTAATTTGTATATGCAAAATTTTACACTTTCACTGCAGCTGTTGAACACGTGTCGTCAAAAACATCCTTTGCAGGTTTCAAAGATTTGACATATTTTTAAACTTGAATGAGCAGCTTATTGTTTTTAACATATAAAATTATTTTCACTAATTAAAATAAAGCTTTTTATTATTTTTTTTTTTGGGGGGGGGGTTTACAGGATATTGTAGGTTTAATATTCCTCCAAATGTAATTTACTTGTTATCACTATAAGCATATAATAAACCCTATCTTAAAAAATATATATTGTATAAAAATAAATTTTACAGAAAAAAATTAGATAACGGTGCAACAAACAACAGTTGTTTGCTGAAAAGCGATTCTCGCCTGGTTATAGGCCTTAGTGATAGCAGATGATGCATCTGTTGACAGCAAATGAACCGCAGGTCAAATAAAAACGCATGACCCCAATTTACATTTTTGCCCCAGTAAAAAGAAAATATAACGAAAAATAAAGTAACAAATTATAAAGTGCATTTTAATTATGCAATCATGTTTGTTGATTAAAGAAGTTATTGGTTGAAAGTAATGGCATCAGCTTAATGTAAAGAATGTTTTTGGTCAGGTAGATGTCAACAAGTTAAATATAAATCAATAAAAGAGGGAAACGATATGTATAAAGAAGTTAAAAAGAAACTAATTAAAATTAAAATGAGTTATCAGCACAGAAAAAGACAAATGACGACTTGGACAAGGCAGGGAATGTGTTAATTTTATTAAATAAGAAAAGGCGTAAACCTAAACATTTTGTTTTCACATCTAAATGGGGATTTTAAATTGTCGAGTTTTTCCTCCTCTTGAGTTGGTATTTTATTTATTTTTTTTTTGCGAGATTCTCAAGGGCATCTCCCTCTTTTATTCTGATTTGTATGATCATCTTTGTCACGTCCTGTAGGCAAGGAAAGGTTTGCCAATCTTCAATTATTTTTAGCATGGTTTCCTTGACAGACATCAGCAATAAACTGAGAAATAAGTTCCGGAACATGTACAGATTAGACATGTAGCGCAACATTGTATCAGTGTTATCTGTTTTCAACTGGGAAACTTGAAATGTGGGACTTTTGTATTGCGACAGTCATGGGGCAGGAAAAAATGTTGTTAGATGTCCTGAGACGTGTATTCCGCAACAAATGTCGCTAGGTGTGCACTAGGCTTTAAACACCTCCAAAATGATTTTCATAAACGCATAAGGTAATGCATGTCTTGATAAATAATTTGAAGCAAAAATATTGATAAAAAAAGAAAAGAATTAATAATGACACTTTCTATTTACTAAAGCATCTCATAAACTCTTTTAAATCTCCAATAAGAAATTTTACATACTTTACAATATTCTATACATACATTATTCTAAAAAATATAGTGAAACGTTCAATAAAATTTGCTTGGTTGTCTGAAAAAAAAAAAAAAAGTTTCTATGCATTATCTTGTAGTTTAGTACTGTTGAGATAATGCCGTTAATACAAAAACAATCCAGGCGTTGAATAAATGTTGAAACAAAACTAAAAAAATGTGCGACGTACGCTCAAATTGCATATCCGTTAGTTAAAATTTTGCTAAAGGCTATCTTAAACTGGCATTTCCAACAAGTTGAAAACATTTAAATCATATTGTTTATTCCCAGAAAAATCAACATTTTTTTAATATTTGATATATTATTGCATTTTGATTGATGCATTGTCATGATGTTTGTTTAGTCATTGATGGTTATGAAGGTAAAAGATGAGTCATTCTACTGCACTGTATTTTGTAAATAGAAAAAAGAAAGAGAAAAAAACTGAAGTTATTTAATATTTCATAATTTATGAATTTAGGTCATTTTACCCAAATGATTATTCTGAGATTTTGATTTGCCATTCATTCATCGCCTTTGTATGATTTTTAACCATGTTTACTTCAATATTTTAACTTTACTTTTTTATAATCAGTTATTGTAATTAATAAATGTATATGTGTATTTATAATAAATTTTAATATAATTTTTTTAAATTCAATTATTTAATTATTTTCAATTAAACTTTGTTCTATGGATTTTTAATTATGGTTTTGTTTCAGTACCACCAAATGGCCTTGTGATTTATTGTGGAACGATAGTAACTGAAGAAGGAAAAGAAAAGAAAGTCAATATAGATTTTGAACCATTCAAACCCATAAATACCTCTTTATATCTTTGCGACAATAAGGTATGGTGCTTATTTTATTAAAAAAATAAAATAAAAAATAAAAAAAATAATTATTTAATTAATTAAAAAAATAAACGTTTTGAACTTGTTTAATTTTTTTCTTCTTCTGTTTAGTTTCATACAGAAGCGTTGACGGCGCTTCTGGCCGATGACAACAAATTTGGCTTCATCGTTATGGATGGTAACGGTGCCCTTTTTGGCACTCTACAAGGCAACACAAGGGAAGTCCTGCACAAATTCACTGTTGATCTGCCCAAAAAGCACGGTAATTTTCAAAATTGTCTTGATTGAATGCAACATATATATAAGTTTTGTAAACAAATTAAATGTCTTGAGTGTAAGTCATTTTAATTGCGAATTTCAAAAACAGCTTGGGATATTTGAAAAATTAATTGAATCAATTTCGTATAATCTCAAGCAGTTTTGATAGCTGCTCATTGAATCAAGTGTTTTCCTTTAAATGTATTCCCAGAATAGGTGAGAGGCAGTTTTGAACTCAATTTCTGCAAGTTTAAAAATATTAAATGCTTTCACAATGACTACATTTAACTATTTCAATTGTTGCAATTTGACATAAATATCAAATTATTTCAATTAATTATTCTTTTTATGTAAGGACTTGGTTGAGATAAAAAAGTCAGTGTCACGAGTGGGATTCGAACCTACGACCTTCGGGTAAATAACGCCGCTGCTCTACCACTTGAGCTATCTAGCTTGGTAAAGCAGCGGCGTATTTAGCCGAAGGTCATGGGTTCGAATCCCGCTTGTGACACTGACTTTTTAACCTCAACCAAGACTAATTGAAAGAAGTAACTTGGTCTACTAAAACATAAATGGATGATTAAATCAATTAACTGGGAATTCATAATGCAGTTTTTTTTTTTTTTTTAATTCTATTTTAAATGATGAATCGTTTTTTCATGGGGTAATTGTAAATCAAGACATGCCATATACTGTTCCAGCATAAATACAAATACTATAAACGCCTGATTAAGCAAAAACTTCAACATTTTTCCTTTTTTTTTCTTTTCTTTTAATCATCTGAGCAATTTTTTTTTTTTTTAATATGAAATGCCGAATTTACGTTTAAAGAAATTATGTAAGTGATGAACTCGGGATGTAGACTGAAGCTGTAACATTTTGATTGATAATTTTTATTAATAGATTCCATCTTGATAGATTTGATCTAATGATATTGATGGATATAATGGATATATGAGCTTTATTGATTTAACTCAGCAATATATCACACATTTAAGAGATATTAATTTACAAAAATAGTACAAACTTACATTACAATGTCCATAATGTAATAACTCCTGTTACCACTTGTGAAATTTACAAAATTAATTTATATATAAAGTATTAACTATCAAAACTGTTTAATTATTTATAAATGCAACAAAGCCCTAGCAGATTTGGAAATATCCTGTATTAGATTAGATGAGATTACAGTTGGAACCGGCCTCTTTCCAATCTGCGCACTGCGGTTTCATGTAGTATCTTAAATCTTGATCCCTTGAGACTGGTTTTATGAAATTGCACCAATTACACACCATTTAAGATTTTTTTAAGGCAGAGGATAAAGCGGGTAATTCACCCAATGCCTTGTCTCGTGTGCACATCTGGTCGATGTCAAGCATATAGAAGAGTACAAGGTTAGCATTCTGGGGCATCAAGCAGATGTTCATGCCCCCATCACACTATCTAATGGAATGGACGTTGGATTTGTGCCTGATAGCTCTGAGTCACTCTGCATTGTGTTGTTTAGTGTAAATGTATTCCCCTCTTATGGTGAATCTTTGACCAAACTCGAGCTTTAAAAAGTGAGACATTAGAGACAAACTTTAGAGTTTCAACTGGTTTCCTTTAGATTAGATTAGGCCTCTTTATCACCTGCACACCATGACTATTGGTTTATTGTGCATATCCATTATTTAAAACTTTTAATTAAGCTAATGCTTTTTACCAAGACCCAAAGCTTTTTCAAGGACTCAGGCCCAGACTTTTCTTCTCTCAGGAGCAAGAATCTCAGCCTACATAAGCCTTATCACCAACAGGGACAAGTTTTGCTGTCTCTTCCTTAAATATTTGCACAGGCTTGTTTCTATCATTCTGAGTCTATACATATGCCTCTGGAGTCTGTAATGTTCATTTAGCATAATATATGATAACATAATCCAAATATGTTTAGAAATCATAATTGACCATATTATTTCAATTAATTATGCTTTTTATTCTAAGGTCTTGGTTGAGATGAAAAAGTCGTGTGTCACTAGTGGGATGCGAACCCATGACCTTCGGCTCAATATGCCGCTGCTTTAACTGAGCCGAAGGTCGTGGTCTGAATACCTTCTCAACCGAGACCTTAAATAAAAAGAATAATTAATTCAGATATTATACTAGTCTTAACATGTCCTAGATTTAGCAGTTTTGCCGTCTCTGTAGTGGTGATGAGTTTTTTCACGTGCTTTTGTCCTGAGCTACATTCTCATTTAACAGAGGACTTATTTTTAATCCATTGTTTGATGGATCCATGTTTTGGCAGCTTGGTATGCCACAAAAGAGTCAGGGCCTCAGAAATAGGTGTCATCAAATTTTCCTTGGCCGATTTATCTCGGCCTCTTTGTTGTCCCTCTGCTCTGTGCCCTGGTACCCAGAGAAAAGTAATTTTGTTGTTTTCCCAATGTCTGACAAGGCCCTAATGCAAATCCCAAATTACTAGACTTCAAAGAAGTAATAAAAGTAGGGTGAATATGTCAATTACTCACAGGTTATTTACCTACTTTTACTACTATTTTACAAATTGCTACAATTATTATTAGGTTAATATTTAGTTGTGTTGCAATGTTCAAAATTGAGCGCAAATAAAATCAGCTTCTAATTGGAAAATTGTGTAAGTGGTGGATAGGCAAGTCACTTTAACACTCATGTCAAGAGAACTCTGTAATGTTTCTTCAACCTGATGATGAATATTTAATGCTTGAAATCTGGATAGTTGTTAACAACAACCTGTGAGTAAGAACCAATCTTTACAAAAAGTGACTCAGGACTTGTCAGCTGATGTGGTAATTGCCCTTAGTGCCCTGTTTGAGTAGATGGCCATTCTTATGTTAACATAAGAGCAGGACGTTGCCAGAGCAGGACTTATAATCCTTTTGAAATCACCTTGGCACAATGTTTTCAGTCATCTCTTGAAAGTCAGTGGCATATTGCCCAAATCTTATAAAATATCCCGTTTGTAAAATGTTTTAATATATTCTAACAGATTGTTGTGGCTTCTTGAAAATCATTATTTCTAATGTAATTACATTATCACAAATTAATTAATTTTTTGTTATCTAGGTCGTGGTGGTCAGTCTGCTCTACGTTTTGCCCGTTTGAGGATGGAAAAGCGGCACAACTATGTAAGAAAAGTCGCCGAAGTGGCGACGACCCTTTTCATCACAAACGACAAACCCAACATCGCTGGTCTTATTCTTGCTGGTAGTGCAGATTTCAAGACAGAGCTCAGTCAGTCTGACATGTTTGACCCTGTGAGTTAAAAATACAAAATATAGCATTTAAAATAAATACGACGTTCGATGCTAATTGGTTTATGTTAAAAGCGGTTACAAGCGAAAATCATCAAGCTTGTCGATGTATCGTACGGCGGTGAAAACGGCTTTAACCAGGCAATCGAGCTTGCAGCGGAATCTCTGCAGAATGTCAAGTTCATCCAGGAGAAGAAGTTGATTGGTCGCTACTTTGACGAGATCAGTCAAGATACGGGCAAATATTGCTTCGGGGTGGAAGATACCTTGAGAGCACTCGAGCTCGGCTCAGTCGAAACTCTGATCTGCTGGGAGAACCTGGACATCCAGAGGTATGTCCTCAAAAATCACTCCAATGCTGAAGAGAAAGTCCTGCACCTGACGCCAGAGCAGGAAAAGGACAAGACACACTTCACTGACAAAGAAGTAAGTTTCATATTTAAAATTTTTTAAAATATTTTCAAATTTTTTCCGTTGTGTTGTCTATGAGACATGACGTTTTGCCGTCTGACCAAACTAGCACAAGAATAACAATATTTCATAATTGTTTTAAAATAAAATAATCAAAAGCTACATTTTTTATTTTTAAGGCTTTGTATGCCTTGTAAGATTAAACTGTTATTTTACATTACTTACATTATTTTCAGAGTGGGGTTGAACTCGAGTTAGTTGAAAGCCAGCCTCTTCTTGAATGGCTTGCGAACAACTACAAGAGCTTTGGAGCAACTCTAGAAATCATCACGGATAAATCTCAAGAAGGTTCACAGTTCGTCAGGGGATTTGGTGGCATTGGAGGTAAATTTTTTGAAGAAAAAATATTTTTAACCATTTATTTCTTCTTTTTTGTCTAACAATGTTTGGATTGACAAACCAGTTTAAATAATGGTGTATAGATATAAATGGTAGTGGTTTAAACTGGTTTAGTTGGGTCAACTAATGCTTCTCTTTTTTCGTGAACTTGAAAATTTCATTTATTTCATTTAACAATGTTACTTGAAACATTAACATTAAGGTCATTGCCCACTAGAATGTATCATACTAGGACCATAACCATACTGACACATACAAAGAAATTCTTTATACCAATAACATTGGAAAATGCCCATTGGACCATTCCGTCACCAACCCATGCCAGCGAATTGTTGACTGAAAAAAAAGCTTAAAAATTTGTACTTCACCTAGCATAGAAACTTTTCTTTAGATGTTTATACTATACTTTATATATTATATATAAAATTTATATATATATTATACTTTACATAATACATACATAAAGTTTATACTATATACTTTCTTTAAAGATGGTGTTTCTTTTGGTAATATCATTTTCAATTTTTCCCAGCAATTCACTAAATTAGAATGATAACGTAAGAAAATATTGGAGAAATTTTTTCTTCATCAACTAGGTGCCAATACAGGTGATCCTTTTTAGATGACCCAGTTTAATTTCTCTTGGACCGATGATGCTATAAAAAAATTAATTAATTCATTTATTTAAAGAAATAAGTTAAATATTTTTAATCTAGTTTCAAATTTTTACTTTTTTTTGGAGAAAAATCATTCAGGGTACATCAGGCCCAGTTCAACTGCATAATTTCAAATATGACTGGCACAACATTTTAAAGGATTTTTTACACTGAAAACAATGGTGCAATCAGATTTTAAATGTCAAAAAGTTTGAAAAACATGTTTCGTTGGTTTTGTTGTTAATTCCAATTATTTGTTTCTTCACTAAAGTAAACATTAATTGCCTTTATTGTTTACATTTTGTCATTGTCAGATTAGCATTAGAGCAAATCTTAATTCCTGGAAGTAAGTAAATTTTACAATTATACCTATTCGTTACATTCAGTATTCTATTCAAAATGAACCAAAGAGCACATTCTTCTGATCAACAGCGAGTTGATGTGGTACAACTGCTTTATTGATAGTGGTCGTATTGTGTGTCGTGCAGTTGAGTTGTACACACAGAAATTTCCTGATCGCCCCAGAGTAAACTGTTCGTGTTGCTCACAATGTGAGGTGATACGGACCAGTTGCTGTTCCATCACAAAGAAACCGGCAGCATAATTGCGACAAGGAGCATATTGTATGGTATGTTCGGGAAATTCCTCTCTGAAATGTTGGAAGGGTTTTAAATTTTTCAAAAAATAAAATTAGAGATGTACTCTGGACTTAAATTTTGTGTCGTATTGCTCTCACCTTGTCCAGGGACTTCGGGGTCTGATTATGACAGGCGTATAATGTTCCTTGCCCAAATTTCGACTTGGAAGGCTGAAGAAAAGTTCTTCCATACATCGTAAGGACTGTTGAATCCAAGTTCACCTCCAATGGCACTGTTGGAATTTTTTGCACGAGGGCAGAGGAAATATAAGAATTTTGTACTCTTGCCATCATCAAGTGGTTCACAGAATTAACATTTGGTGTGGACTTCTCAGAAATAAATTAATTGGGCTTATTTCTACTAAAATAATTTAAATGGTGCTAGTTCTTCAATTTTTTGAGGGAGGTTTTACCAACATTATTAGATGATGATCCTCTACAACAATGACAAAGAACGATTCTCCAGCTTAATGGATGCCCTGCACACAATTTTTTTGCAGGTGAGACGTTATTTGAATCGTCACTGTCGGGATAGGTGGATAAGATCTCATGGCCCAATCTGATGGCCTCCTCAGTCCGATTAACTCTCCACTTGACTATTTTCTGTAGGGCTATTTAAAAAAATAGTGTCTTCGCCAATCATAACTCAGTAACCTCAGTAAAAGGACTTGCATAGGATAGAAAATGCTTGTCATTCCATCTCCCCTGACTCTTATCACCCTGAGCACTCACTGGTGAAGAGTGGTAAAAAAGAGCAAATCAGGCAGACAGTTTGAACATGAAATGTGATTAATAAATAGCAAACCAAATGACTTAAAAAAAAATTGCCATAACTTTGTCATTTTTTGACCAATTTAAAATCCGATTGCACCATTGTTTTCAGCATAAAAAATCCTTTAAAAGATGCACGGGCGGTATTTAAAATTTTGAAGTTGAACTGGGCCTGAGGTACCCTGACAATTTTCATAGAGATTATTAACTAATAGCCATATTTTATTTTGAAGAAAGCAACCCCAGTTCACAATTCAGTACAGTTCACAGTCCGTGTTCTCTCAGCAAGAAATATACAGTGACCGGAACAGGACTGAATGGGAGACCAAATGTGTTGTAAATGGGTATAGAATGTTAATCCATGGGCATAGTAGTGATTGGAATGCTTTTTTCATGCCTGACCTGGTCATCGTATGATTCATTCTATTGGGCAAAGACCTTTATTCAGTATTTCATGGTTGTTATCAACCACTAACTGTTAGTGCTAATTTTTGGAGAAAACAAGTTTTGATAAAACGGAATTTTTTTAAATAGAAAAGTACATAACTATATTTAGAATATTGCATTGTGCTGTTTTTGTTTCTAATGTAAAACTAACAACATATCATGTTAAATTTTTAAATATATATTGGGTTTGGACATAAATTTTTTTGGGGGGTTTTCAGAAAAAAGTCAAATGTTCAAAATATAAATTTTATTTTTAATCCAAAACATAATTTCCTTCATTGTACATAAATACTGTCAATTTCTGGTAGCGACCAATTTTCAGAGAATTTTTGTTCAAAAATGCCCCCTACCTTCTAAGTCGTAGTCTAGGGAGCGGACCAAGTAAAAAATTGGAAGGGGGGAGGGTCTGGAGAGTATGGAGGGTGGGGCGTTTGTTGCCAGTCTAACATGGTGATTTTATTTTAAACAGCCGTGTGTGGCATGACATTGTCATGATGAAACGATGTTGTGTCTATTCTCCAGTGGCTGGATGTTTTTCCTTCAAAGCTGACCCAAGACACTAGTGCACATTATACTTGCAAGGGGTGTGTGGTAACTTCCCAATAAACTATTCTTTGAATACCCTACCAAACAGACAATAGGATTTTATGGACGGGGTAATCCTCTTGATGACGGCAGCAACACTCCATTCTTCTTGGTCTTTTGGTGTTGAACATTTTTATATAAACCACTTATTTAAATACCACCTGACCAAAATAGGAAATAAACCCTTCCAATTTATTCCTATTCAGATGTGAAACACCACGAGCCATGCAATCTCCTTGTTTCCGAGGGACAATTCTTGGGTCCCCCTTTAGTTTCACAATGTAACCCAGAGATCAGATTCTTCTTTCTATTGATGTACGATGTACGTGAAATCTCTCTGATGGCTTTGCTACAGTTAATTTTCCCTCATCCTCCAGTGCCACTACTAAATCTTCGCTTGTAACCCAGTTAGGCGTTGTACAACAAGTCTGATTTTTGATTAGTCCTTTACAAAAACATCAGAACTACTGTTGATCTGTTACGTGTTCACTTACTACATAATCACTGTAAATTCCAAAATATATTTCAACAGGCATCTGTTGCTCTATGCCTGTAACTAGTATAGCAAGCAATGCATCAAATAAATTTTATTTGCTTCCATGTCGTATTCTAGACTGACTTTTGTGATCAACTACCCAGTTCGTAACAATTGCTAGAAATTTTCCCACCCTGGAGCTAACAGGGAGGGGGGACGAAAAAAAAGTTTACACATATTGTGATCATAGATAAAAATGAATCAGCAGACTCAACCGTCAGGAAAGTGCCATTTTTGTGACATTAAATATTCAGGCTAATTAAAGATTTAACCTTACAGCAGTGTATTTAGGGAGGAGGGATTGTAAATTTTTTTATGAGGGTATTTCAACTACATTATATGAACCCTCGGGGTTGTTTGTTTATTTTTATGTGGGTTTTTGAAATAATTAGCCTAATTTTTGCTCATTTCTTTTTTTTTCTTTTTGTTCGCCTGTCACACTTACTAAATAAAAATGATAACCATGTCCAAATATGATAATTCCATTTGCCAAAAGAAAAAGGATTATATTTCATAAAACATTCATCGCTAGTTTTTATCTTAGGCAAAATTGAAAAATCTTTGTAGAACTAAGGAAATAATGTCACAATTAAAAAAGGCAAGTATTAGTCAAATTTAGTAATTACAATTAACTACAAAAAATATAACACTATTTACACTTAGGACAAGGTTTTTTTTAATTATTTAAAAAAATTAAAGATTGAATTTGTTTATTTACATAATTCATCACACAGTAACGTGCCAAAAATAAATGTACATAAACATGTTTTTTTACTAAACGCACCATTAATTTTTTTGCTGTTGTTGAGCATACATAATTGCATCCACATATTATTTTATTTAAAAACAATCAAAATTGGATTAAGACAAACTGCATATATTTGTTCTTGCCGCTTGCAAACAGGAATCCTCCGCTACAAAGTTGACTTCCAGTCTCTTCAAGCCGAGGAGCCACTTGATGACCTCGACTTAGATGATTATTAAAATGACTTAAAAAAAGAAAAGATAATTGCAGGTAGAGATAGGTTGTCGAAAAAATAGTTATTGATGTTTTTGTTTTTGTTTTTAATTATTAGTGAGTTTGCATGTTGCATGGTTAAAACAGTTTTCTTTCTTATTTATTTTATTTTATTTGTGATATTGTGAAGTAATTTGTTTTAGATTTTACTTCTAATTGTGATCTCACTTGTTTACGTTTATTTATTTAATTTTTTGATGTTTTAGGTCTGCTTCGGTACAAGGTTGATTTCCAAAGTATGCAGTGCGATGAGATTGACAACGATATTTACGACCTCGACGACTACTAACCAAAAACAATATCACTAAACTGAAAACATATGTAAGCAAAAACAAAAGAGCCTTAGAATTGTGTGAATTATCAGTGTTCTCGTTTTGTATCCTCCCTCGTCATCTTCCCCTCTCATGTTCAGAAACTTAAGTCGGATTAACATAGATAGCTAATTAAAAGAAAATATATGTATAATAATAGCGTTTATTTGAAAACCAGGCATAATTTGATTGGTTTTGGTATTAAATGGCAAAAAAATAGTAAGGAACCAAAAATGCTGCCAGTAAACTTTTTCTTTTTTTGGTTCAATTGCGTCCAACGTTACAGCAGGACTGGAGAACAAAAGAGCCCACTGTTTATAAAATGCCAAGAAGTCAGGGAACATTGAATTAAATATAAAATTAGGAAAAGGTTCATTGCAGAAAGTTTTATTAATTTGCATGAGTGCAAAGGAAAATGCTTTTTCTTCTTTGTTAAGGCAAAAAGATTCTAAAACATTTCTAAAATCAATTGATAATATTATAGAGAAAACATTTATTTGTTGTGGTATTTAAAACAAGTTTGGAACATTTTCAGCTCTTTTATTGTACACATGCTCAAGTATTATTATTTACATATATATTATATATATATTTAACAATGTAACACTTATATCATTCTTCAATTTTAATGGTTAAGATTGTTGAGACTAGTGTATCTTAAAGAGGAAAAAATTATATATATATATATTAAAAAAAAATTATTGAGAAGTTTGCTGGTGATGCTGTTTTTTGAGGTTGTCTATTGTATAGTGCAGCGACATCAGCAATGACCTCTCATAAATTTTTGAATTAATATTAATTATCATTAAATTAGGTTTTAGTTGGATAAATTAAATAATGGCAATTTGTTGTATGAGTTGTTGTAACATTTTTTATTGTTATGGTATGGCTAAATGTATTTGTGAAGTGTTGTATATGTGAATTTATTGTAAGTTCTTATCATTATATTTCTTAGAGCTAAATGGAGGCACAAGTTTTTCCCCCGATGTTTTAGAATTTTGTTTTAATTTATTCGATTCCATGGAATTGGTTATTATAAGGTGTTAGTGAAGTTATTGTTATATAAAAATGAAGCCATAGACTTAATTTTCTTATTTACTTTTTTCTTTTTTAAGATGAGAAAATGTGAAGTTCTTTTAAATTTGAGCTTGAAATAATTATGACAGCAAAAAAAGCAGAGCCATGTTATATTTATTAATAATTTCATCATTGAAAATATAAAATTTCGATGAAAAGAGGAATAAAATAATAAAACAGATTTCATTGTAATTGAATACCCGATCCCAATCAATTGTTCTTAAGTTTCTGACCAAACTTATGCAATTTCACTTAGATAAAATCATTTAAAAAATATACATCTTGTAATAAATCTTTTGGTTGGCCTAGTTTAGTCGGCTCTTGTTAATTCGAATCTTTTGATATCATCGGCAGGTTACTGGTTAATTGAAAAAATTGTGTATTTTGATGCACACGGTAATTTGAAATCTTTTTTGTTACAAGGGCAGAGAAAGCGTTCCATAAATTGAAATTGTAATGCTCCTGTACATATCCACATATAGCTTACTTCCTTGTAGCATAAATATTCTTTGAATTTGTTCTAGTTTTGGTTACGTTCAGCAGTCGATGGTTCATGTTTTGTGTTCACAACACTTGTCACTTTGGAAAATGGTTTAGAGAAAATTTCGCACATTGATACTAAAACATCTTCATTATTTAAAAAAAATATATAACAATGTTTAATTTTACAGTTGATCTATTTATACTTTTTCATTATTTTTAATATATGTTTTAGTGTTTTTAGTACAATTCAAGTAAGAACTTTTAAAAGTGCATAGTTACTCTTAATACTTTGATTTTTTCCTTTTCATAATTTGAATTATTTTTGTAGTCCTTATCAAAAGTCGACAGTATTTAATAAATAAAAAAGCGTAAAGTAGAATAAGAAATGAATGAAAGAGATCAACTTGTTCAACAAAGTATTAACAAGTTTTTAATCTATTGTTTAATAGTTACATATATTTTTGGTCTGCCTATCATCATTGATTTTTTTAAGTTCAGATGCGTTTCACCAGGTAAAGAAAAATAAAAAAGTTAAAAGTATTGCTAACTGAAATAAATTTGTGCTTAAATTTTCAAGCTGAAATTGATAACTTAGTTTTCATTTTTGCATATACAATATGAATTACAACTTACAAAGAAAGGATGATGGGATTTTATTAATTAATAATAATAGTCATAAAAAGAGTAGGAATGACTGATCGTTGAGTGAGTATAAGGAATTTTAAAATAATGCAATGAAACTTTTTTTAAATGTTATATTAAACTATAATCATACAAAGTAAGTATTTATTTTTTTATTTAATAACTTAAAGTTAGTATATTTGAATGCTAATTATTTAAAAGATCTGCGACATTCTTGTAATGGTCCCATGTGTTTGGAGTTCTTTACATCAACTTCAAATCTGTGTTCTGTTAATTATTAAGTAGAAAACTTTTTAAAAATAGATCTTTGATACTTTTTTTGTAATGTTTCTCTGAAAAAGGCACAATCTTCAAATAGTGGTGTAGCACAGTGATTGCCAAAGTGTGCACAGTGAAATTTTTCTATAAAAAAAAAAATTGGTTATATTTATAAAAAGCAAACCTAAAAACTAAACCCCCCTTTATAAAACCCTAAAAACTAATACCTTGGTGGCCATCCAATCTTAATATGGATATTAATGAGACTGCTGCAATTGTGTATTTTATACTATTGCCCCAAAAAAGTATTCTCTTTTATATTTTTGCTATTAAGTGCAAAATGGCTATGCATAAAGTAAGTTTTTCAGTTTCACAAGAAAGTCAGTATTTTTTATTATTAAATAAAATTGCACACAAAATAAGTGGTTTAGATGTATCAATACTTTTCTAAATTTAGAAATGAATTAATACTACTAACATAAAGATCACACTGAGATAGACCAGTGTTGACAAAAATAATGATACAAAGGGTGCTAGAAACAGGAAAAGTGAGGGAAACCCTGGTGCAGCAAGTAAAAAATTATGTACCGAGCATGGAAAAACTTTGAAGCACTGTTAGATGGGAAAATTGATTATTGCTAATTAATTGATTTAAAAACAAATCAGTTCCTTTTACTGCCAGTGAATGTACTTTCTGGCGTGAAGTATAATAGATTTAAAAAGTTAAAAAAAAAGTCATTACCTTATTCTTACAGTTGTGTTAATAATGAAATAAGTTAATTTATGGTCAAATGAATGACCAGTTTATTAAATTTTTGTCAGTAGTAATTTTTTTCTTATTTAATCTGGAAAGTTGAACTTTTTCATAGTTTAGCTTCTTAACACAGCGCTTTACTCAAGCCAACTAATAGTGTGAAATGGTAAATCTCATGTTGAACTTGAAACCTAAAAAAAGTGAAATTTCTAGTTCGTTTTTTTTTTTCCATTTATGTTTTTGACTACCAAATAATTATTTAAACCATTTTAAAACTAATAATAGGTTTGCTTACAATTATAATAAAGGGGAAGTTGAAATGAGAAATTTGTGGTATGGGTGATCGAAGTCACGGTAGTTCAAGTGATAGGAGCAGCGGTGTATTGAGCCAAAGGTCGTGGCTTCGAATCCCACCAGTGACACAAATTTTTCATTACAAAAAATGACATAACCACCCCTTGCTGCGAGAGAGAATAGTTTTGCTCTTATTTTCCAATATTGGCAAGAGAGATGATTCAGAGATTGCGTTGATTAACTTGGAGGAAGGTTAGCTTGAAAAACGGCCAGGGCGATGGTGGGAATCGAACCCACAACCACAGAGTCTTCGACTGAGAGCCTTACATGCTATTCGGCTACCGCAGCCTCCTGAAATAATAGAACATGTTTATTAAAATTTTCATATTACTTTTTTTTTTTTGGGAGGGGGATTGAATAAGTATTTTAAAAATCCTTTCCTCCACTGCGACCTGTCTATTGCGGAACCCCCATAAATTATCTCCATACCTTGGAAAGTGCACTTTTTCCTATAAGGCTAAGCAGTTTCCTTGGTGCCTCTTTGCGTACTTTTTTAAAGGAATTGCCTTAGAAGTCGCTGTACCAGGGTGCTAATGCTTGATGAGAGGCCCTTTTTTCGGCTAGTTGGTCAACCTATTCATTTCCTTCTATACCTTCAAGTCCCAGAACCCACTTTAATGTAATCTTGTGTATTCTTAAAGCCATTAGGTAATTTAGGCATTCTAGGCAAGTTTGGTGCTGGAAGTATTCATTTAGTGCCTTTATGGCTGTCTTGCTGTCTGAGAGTAATCTGTGAACCTTTCCTATTGCAACTATTTACTATTTTAGAACAATTGCACAGTACCTCATAATAAACAGCTTACCCTCTGATTTTTATTTCAGTTGTATTTTATTTAATCTACAATATTAGGTTTAAATAAATAATAAGGATGCCATGGCTAATATATATTAAGCTTTATTATAAAACATAAAAATTTGTTCATGACTGCAGTAATTTTACTATAAGAAAGGCAATTTTGGACAAGAACGCACAAGACGGCAAAATGCTAAAAACATGCCTGATTAGCAAAGCCAGTGAGAATTAATAAACATCTGATCATCGGCCTAGACTCAGGGACAATAGGAAGACATTGATAGACATTGAAATAGGAAGAAATTGATTCATTTCGCAGACCTCACAAATTTTTCACAACTCATTTGTCTATTTTCACTGTGGCCAATCCAGTGAAAAATGAAAATAGGTCAAATTATGTTGAATTGCTTTTGTTTATTTTTTTCTTTTTTTTAAATATGACATTCTTTTGTTATTGACAAATACAATAGTCATGTATAGTCTTTCTAGCCTCTGAGGACTGATAGAGCACAAAACTCTCGTAGATGGCAAATCTTGCAAGGCCACGGCTTGAAGATAAACAGCGGTATCATCCAAGAAATGAAACGATCCATTGTTGCAGAAACATATTTACAATAACATTTGTTTTATATGTAATTGAAGGTTTTCGCTTCTGCGTGTTTGCAAGGAAAAGTTCTTAACATTGTTTGTT